GTGCTAAAAATCAGATTTCACGATTTGTTTTAACTCCATTTTGATTCTCCGCTTATTGCCACTTTATATACCAAGGGGTGTATTATGTATGTATGTATGCGTCAGGTACAGAAGCAAGAGACAGGATCAATAGACAAAGACCGAAGTTGCGCGGTAGAGCAATCCGTTATTCTTTCAATTCGTATTTGCTGAGAGCGTGGCCTGAGAACGAAAGATACTCTCAGAGTCGATTTAGTCGCGCTTAGTTTTGGAATCAAAAATCTGGATCAGGGCACAACACAACCGCGAAAAAAGAAGATGAGGAAGCAGGGCAGCCCACGACATAAATTAAGATAAATTGAATTGCAAAAATGTACAACCTGTTGACTTTTTCCTGAATATATTAAGATACTCGTCGTACAGTTTCTCTATCGATCGTTCTAGTGGCAGTCATATTTGTATTTACAATAAAGATCTCATCTTCCTAATCAAGCTGAATAAATCCATAAGAAACTGCAATTTCTATGGGGATTATTTCTTTTCAGTCGCAATGAGAGAAAAATGGCATAGTAAAAAGAAAGACACCCATATTAAAATTAAAATTTGGGTTTTAATTATAATAGAGAAATTAAATGGAATTCAGTCTTTAACAGTCTTTTTAACACGGTCCAAATACAAATAAAAACTTAATTTGTAGGAAATACATTTAATGAAAGTGAAATTAATTAAATTTAAATTTTTCCACTCTGGGGACCAAATTAATGTCATAAATAATGACAGACTGTACGACAGTAATACTAATTTAATTGTATTTGGCAGATTTACCTAAGTTGCATATACAAATTTATTTTCAAACGTTTCTCGTTCTCTATGGTTCGTTCTTATCGTTGTTCGTTCAATATTGCTATTCAGTAAACCCTCTCCCTTTCTATAAGACAGACACACACCGGAAATCTCATAGTTGCCGGTTTTTTAATATTAGAAGGGTTCCATATATCAGACAGGCTCGGGCACGCTGCTGAATCCCAAATATAATCTTTGCATTACTTTGATGGGCTTTATCGAGAACTTATTACAAATATCACCCACGTCCGTTGGCCGATTGTGAGCCATATTTTTCTTCAAAGAGTCCACTTGTAGACGACTTATCAGCCGCAAGACTTTCGTGAGAGAAACGCTCGAAAAATTTATTGCAGGTGAATGTTACATTTAATTAAGAGTAGCACTTGTGGAAGTGTGCCCGAGCAAGATAAGGAGGCTTCGCCAGTATAAAAAGGGCGCAAAGTTTTAGGAAAGGCATGAGTTTCACAGATTGATCGAGATGAAACTGTTCGTATTCCTTGCATTGGCTGTGGCCGCAGCTAGCGCTGTCCCCACTCCCGTGGAGAAGCAGACCCCTGTCCCTGTTAAGGACATTCAGGGCAGAATCACCAACGGCTACGATGCCTACGAGGGCAAGGTTCCCTACATTGTTGGTCTGCTCTTCAGCGGCAACGGCAACTGGTGGTGCGGTGGCTCCATCATTGGCAACACCTGGGTCCTGACCGCTGCTCACTGCACGAACGGCGCCGAGTCTGTGACCATCAACTACGGAGCCAGCTTCCGCACCCAGCCCCAGTACACCCACTGGGTGCACCGCAACGACTTCGTCCAGCACCACCACTACAACAGTGGCAACCTGCACAACGACATCTCTCTGATCCGCACTCCCCATGTCGATTTCTGGCATCTGGTCAACAAGGTTGAGCTGCCCAGCTTCAACGATCGCTACAACAGCTACGCCGGCCAATGGGCTGTTGCCTCTGGATGGGGTGGCACCTATGACGGCAGCCCACTCCCCGACTGGCTGCAGTGCGTCGATGTCCAGATCATCGATCAGGGCGAGTGCAGCCGCACTTGGTCTCTCCACGACAACATGATCTGTATCAGCACCAACGGTGGCAAGTCCACTTGCGGAGGAGACTCTGGCGGCCCCCTGGTCACCCATGACGGCAACCGCCTGGTGGGAGTGACTTCCTTTGTTTCTGGTGCTGGTTGCCAGGCTGGTCACCCAGCTGTCTTCAGCCGCGTCACCGGCTACTTGGAATGGATCCGCGACAACACCGGCATCTCTTACTAAAAGTCCAATTATTTTCCAATTCTTGGGTTTCTTTAATAAAAGCATTTGAAAAATTATGAATAGTAGTTTTTGAATCGGCGTGAGCTCTTAAACATTGTTCCATAATAGTTGCTACGAACCGTTTTGTCGGTACTCAACTCAGCACTTGCTTTTTGCCCAATCAATGCGTTTATATCGGGAGCGGTATGTCGAATCCGTGGCTTGTTTTGGTATCACCAGAAAAACAGAAACCGGGCTTTACGGATTCGGCTATTGATGCGGATTACGAAATTCTCCAATGATGAAGAATAGGCACCATCCATTCCGCAAAAAGAAATCAAATATTTATATCAAAGCCAATGTCATCAACCAGTTAAGAATATATCAAATCATTCCTTATTCCTATTCTGTTTTCTATACGATGGCCGTTATATATTCAAGGGTATATCTTACATCTCCAACGGCATAAAGCATATGTACAATCTTTCAGTGAGTCAATATCGTACAGCTGCCATACAAATGAATGTAAGCTACCGTATAGAAGGTACTAGAACACCTATATTCTACAGGGTAGGTACAGGGTAGGTTTTGTGAGAAGGGTATATAAATTTCGGTGCGCCGAATTTCATTGCATCCTTATTAACACTTAGAAGCGTAACTACTAGACAAATTTATTGAAAGACAACCAAATCAAAAACTCTAGCCTGTCCAAATCAAATCAGAATCTAATCTATTTTACACCAGCACTAGTATATTGTATTTACTATATGAGCATGCCTTCGATTCATGGACCCATTATCTAAGTCAGTATATTGTAATTACTGAGCATATCAGCCAAGAGCACATAAATTAATTACTATCTTTTCTGGTACCGTAGAGAGGAAATGACTACGAAAGTACATATTTGGAACTTTTGGGAATTTCGTGCTTTTCATTCATTTAAAATCTAGTATTCTGCTTACTATTGTACTCATTCCCATTGAATCAGTTATATGGCGGTATCCCCATACTTCTGGACTTTCCCTGATTTCGACTCGACTGGCTTCTTGTTCTCTTTGTGGCTAGTGAAAATTTAAGCTTCTAGAAAAAGCTTTGTGTTTTTTCGTATGAGCAGAAAATATGGTTACAAGTGCTCCTATCCAACTGAAGGACGAAGAAGATGTTTTGGGGGGCAATGTTTCATGAAGGGTCGTAAAAAACACGAATATGTGAGCTTTGCATACACTAAACAAATACATAATAACCAAATAAAAGGGTTATCAGACATGGCCTAAAATTTATTATTGCACTCGTCCTTTATCTTGCGGACAAATTAATCTAATCAAACGTGTTACGTGCTTATTAGTAATAGTATTTAAAAAATATTATATACCTCACGCAGAGAATTCCGCTGAAGTTATAAATATCAACACTAATTAATTCGCACTCAATGAATCCTAATCCGTCGCTGTGTCTTTCATTTGGAAATTCTTTGGGGACCTGTCCTGCAGAGAAATGTGAGCGGAGTGCAATGCCCTCGGCTTAACAACTTAAGCACGTACAGCCACGGCCCCCATTCAGCTCCACCTTTCAAAGCACACATTTCAAAGAGCGCTCGCTCCTTTGGAGTATTTATATTACTTTTCTTGGTTCTGGAACGGGAATTTATTTCCCAGCATTGACATAGAAACAAGCGCACAATACGCACAGAAGTAGCCCACATTCGAGCCAAAGGGCGAGCAATACTTTCAGTACAAATTGGGATAGGATTTTGATGGATTATCCTAGCCTGTTGCTTAGACGGTCCAGGGCTAGGGTCTTGCGCCCAAATATCAGTTCACCCGTCGAGAGCACGACGAGTCGGTTGGATGATTAGTTCGATTGAAGTCAGATTGAAGACGGTCGGTGTCGGATTGAAGAACTATTCGCAGTAGACGTGCAAGAAGTGAGTGCAAATGCACGCGAGAGCGCGAGAGTTCGAGAGAACGATAGGAAAGGAACGAAAGAGAGAAAGAGAGCGTATGTATGTTTGTACATATGTATATGTATGTATGTATATTACAATGCGGTTCCAGGGGCAGTGCAAAAAACAAAAAATAATAGAGATTTACTTTACTGCTGCACCACTGGCTAAAATATGTGGATTATTGGCTAATACCGGTCCGCGCAACGCAACAGTTACCTCAATTGGGGAAATTAGATTTTGCACATTATAAACGCTCAGAATTGCAATGCACTTAACAAATTGGTTTTCAATACCAGGTCGAGACGCACCCAAAGGGCATTTCTACGTGATTTGTACATGCTAACCCGAAAGCTTGAAAGCTTAAACCTGGAAAGTTCGTTGTCTTACATTGAGAGCTTAGCTTAAGCAGCTTTTGCGACTCCTACTAGAAACAAAAGTACTAACGAGCTCCAGGTAAGGAGCTTTTTTGCAGGGACTTGACTGCTGCTGTTAGAAGTTTGCCTCAATCATGACTCATTGACCTTTCTGCATGCATTTTTGACTTTGTTTGTTTTTGAATTAACTTTAAAAAACACAAGATTATTGTTGTCATTTCCGAATATATTAGTGTAAGCATCACCGTTCAATCAGCATTGCATTCAACTGAGCTGATAGATCGCACTTGGGGGGTTTCGAAAATCGAACATAATTTGTGTGTCACTTATCACGTGCAGGTGCAGGGCAGCAGCCTACCATGGGCATTTGATAGCATTGCTTGAATCGGTTGCACTCTGCACGCTGCCCTCTTTCGTCCCGCTCTTATGCATCCAGAGACCCATCAGGTGTGGCAACAGACATACCATACCGTACCTCCGCTGACGGGCCCATTGACTGTCGTTTTGCCCACACATTGACCGACTTTTTGCCGTAAAGTGCTAATGTAATTAGTGGAATATACCGACCAGTAGCTGCTAATTCTGAACAGTGCAATGCAGCTAATTGGAGGCACCACATCGTGATCGTTAAGCGCTGAAACGGATACTGTGCGAAAAAGGAAAAGGATAAGGTGCAAGGACAGTTAGCGAGTGTAGGGCCAACATATGGTATTGAGATGTGACGGCTGGTCGAATCTAGTCAAATTTGAATAACATTTCGCGTCGAAAAGAGTCATAAAATCAAACAAGATGACTAGCGTCGAATCGGATGCCGAAAAGGCCGCAGGCTCACGGCTCGACTATGACCTGATGATGGCGGAGGAGTATATTCTCAGTGATGTGGAGAAGAATTTTATTCTGTCCTGCGAGCGTGGTGACCTTCCGGGCGTTAAGAAGTAAGAGCTATTCCACAGACGTAAGCGATGGTTGGTGGTGGTTGCATAATTGCCTTTATCCTTGAAGAATTCTGGAGGAGTTTGAGGGCACCGATAAGTTCAACATAAACTGCACGGATCCCATGAACCGCTCGGCCCTCATTTCGGCCATCGAGAATGAGAACTTTGACCTGATGGTGATTCTCCTGGAACACAACATCGAAGTGGGGGATGCTCTGCTGCACGCCATATCCGAGGAGTATGTGGAGGCCGTGGAGGAGCTGCTGCAATGGGAGGAAACTAACCACAAAGAGGGCCAGCCCTACGTAGGTTTTCCCTTCCACCTTCCACCTTTAACCTTTCCATTAGCCATTAGCCATTAGCCAACGATTGTAATTGTAAACACTTTGCCCACACAGAGCTGGGAGGCAGTGGACCGTTCAAAGTCAACGTTCACCATGGACATAACCCCCCTGATTCTGGCTGCGCACCGCAATAATTACGAGATTCTTAAAATACTGCTGGATCGCGGTGCCACGCTGCCCATGCCCCACGACGTCAAGTGAGTAAGCCCCATTTCCACCCAACTAGCACGTTTCTCTATCGTTGCGGGCCAAGTGACAAATTAGTAAATTAGGAGGAGCTCCTGTCGACCTGCAACAGGGTGACGATGTCTATATAAAGGGTGCTTTCTTCTGCAGGTGCGGCTGCGATGAGTGCGTTACCTCTCAGACCTCGGACTCCTTGCGTCATTCGCAGTCGAGGATCAACGCGTATCGGGCGCTGTCAGCCAGTTCCTTGATAGCCCTCAGCTCGCGAGACCCTGTACTGACAGCCTTTCAGTTGTCCTGGGAGCTGAAGCGGTTGCAGGCCATGGAGTCGGAATTTCGTGCCGAATATACGGTACGCTAGAAAAGCGTAAGCGTCGTCGCTGCCATTCGAATGCGACCAACTTGTTTGTGTTTACTCAACAGGAAATGCGTCAAATGGTGCAGAACTTTGTCACGTCTCTCCTGGACCACGCACGCACATCGATGGAACTGGAGGTGATGCTTAACTTCAACCACGAGCCGTCGCACGAGATTTGGTGTCCCGGCCACAGGCAGACCCTGGAAAGATTGAAGCTAGCCATTCGATACAAGCAGAAGACTGTGGGTTGCTCTCTCTCACACACACACTCTCTCTATCTCTCTCTATGATATAGGATTTTAATGCTTTCCGTTCCGACAGTTTGTGGCCCATCCGAATGTCCAGCAACTGTTGGCCGCCATTTGGTACGATGGCCTGCCGGGCTTTCGACGCAAACAGGCATCCCAGCAGCTCCTGGATGTGATCAAGCTGGGATGCAGTTTCCCCATATACAGCTTGAAGTACATTTTGGCCCCGGACTCGGAGGGGGCCAAGTTCATGCGCAAGCCCTTCGTCAAGTTTATCACACACTCCTGCTCCTACATGTTCTTCTTGAGTGGGTATGGCAGGCGTTGCATGTGGCATTGATCTCTAGCGATTCTTATCCGCAGTGCTGCTGGGTGCCGCCTCGCTGCGAGTGGTGCAGATCACCTTTGAACTGCTGGCCTTTCCGTGGATGCTGACCATGCTGGAGGAATGGCGCAAGCATGAACGCGGCTCTCTGCCGGGCCCCATTGAACTGGCCATCATTCTCTACATCATGGCTCTCATATTGGAAGAACTCAAGTCTCTGTACTCCGACGGTTTGTTTGAGTACATCATGGATCTTTGGAACATTGTCGACTATATATCGAACATGTTCTACGTCACGTGGATTCTTTGCAGAGCAACGGCCTGGGTTATAGTTCATGTAAGCTGTTGGCCACTGCCTCCCACATGACGTAGCTACTATTATTACGTTTCTTTCCACACGTACAGCGAGATCTTTGGTTCCGCGGCATCGACCCGTACTTTCCCCGCGAGCATTGGCATCCATTTGATCCGATGCTGCTCTCGGAGGGCGCCTTCGCGGCAGGCATGGTCTTTTCCTACTTGAAACTGGTGCACATCTTTTCGATAAACCCACATTTGGGACCGCTGCAAGTCTCCCTGGGACGCATGATCATCGACATCATAAAGTTCTTCTTCATCTACACTCTGGTGTTGTTTGCATTCGGCTGCGGCCTGAACCAGCTCTTGTGGTACTACGCGGAGCTGGAGAAGAACAAGTGCTACCACCTGCATCCCGATGTGGCCGATTTTGATGATCAGGAAAAGGCCTGCACCATCTGGCGACGATTCTCCAAGTGCGTAGGGAGCTACCAACCTTATATGATATATGTACCCTTGATATATGTATGTCTCTGCCTGCAGCTTATTCGAGACTTCGCAGTCGCTCTTTTGGGCATCCTTCGGCTTGGTGGATCTAGTCTCGTTCGATTTGGCTGGCATTAAGAGCTTCACCCGGTTCTGGGCCCTTCTGATGTTTGGCTCGTATTCGGTAATCAACATCATCGTGCTGCTCAACATGCTAATTGCCATGATGTCCAACTCGTACCAAATCATTTCGGAGCGGGCCGACACGGAGTGGAAATTCGCACGCTCCCAGCTGTGGATGAGCTACTTCGAGGATGGCGGCACCATACCGCCGCCCTTCAACCTCTGTCCCAACATGAAGATGCTGCGCAAAACCCTGGGACGAAAGCGCCCATCAAGAACCAAGAGCTTCATGGTATGTCAAAGGTGACCTCACCTAACCACCTTACAACCTAACCATCTCACCATCTAGTCGTAGTCACTGTCGGAGCAATCAAGGGCAAAGCCTTTACCAAATCATTTTCAATCAAGCTCATGCAGCTTTTCTAATACAATCCTTGCTTCCCACTCTTACTCTCCCCCTCGCTGGCTCTGTCTGTCTGTCTGTCGAACAGCGAAAGTCCATGGAGAGGGCACAGGTTCTGCATGACAAAGTGATGAAGCTGCTGGTGAGGCGGTTCGTAACGGCCGAGCAGAGGAAGCGTGACGATTACGGCATTACCGAGGATGACATCATTGAGGTGCGCCAGGATATTAGCTCGCTGCGCTTCGAGCTGCTGGAGATTTTCACGAATAATAGCTGGGATGTGCCCGACATCGAGAAGAAGACAGCGGGTAGCGTAATAGAACTCTAAAAGGTTTAAAGCGGGGACGGGGATCCCCTTAATAAGGATACCCTCTCTGTATTTGCAGGAGTTGCTCGCACCACCAAGGGCAAGGTAATGGAGCGGCGCATACTCAAGGACTTCCAAATTGGTTTTGTGGAGAATCTGAAACAGGAAATGAACGAGAGCGAGAGCGGACGCGACATCTTCGCGTCGTTGGCGAAGGTCATAGGCAGAAAGAAGACGCAAAAGGGGTAAATACTTAGCAAGTAGAAGTAGAAATCATAGCTGAGATTGCCATCTTTTTGTAGTGAAAAGGACTGGAACGCCATTGCCAGGAAGAACACCTTTACGGCGGATCCCATTGGCTCCAAGCGCTCCTCCATGCAGCGCCACAGTCAACGCAGTCTGAGGAGAAAGATCATTGAGACGGCCAATGAGGGTCTAGCAATGGACCAGAGTCAATTGATTGGTAAGGACTCTTAGTAAATCCATAGCCCTAGTAACTAGTAACTGTTTAACCCCTTCCTCACAATCAACAGAATTCAACCCGAACTTGGGCGAAGTCACGCGTGCCACCAGAGTCGCGTACGTCAAGTTTATGCGAAAGAAGATGGCTGCCGACGAAGTATCGCTGGCCGATGACGAGGAGACCCCGAAAACCGACGAGGACAGGAAACTGGATAGTACTATGGTAAAAATTATGGAAAAGGGTGACATTTCAAACTAATTCAAACCCGATTTTACTCTAGTCCAAGAAATCCGCCTCAAGTGCGGCAGGCGGGGCTGCTTCGTTGGCTTCAGCTGCATTGGCGAGAGCATCTGTGAAGAACGTTGATGAGAAATCGGATGGTAATGGCACCAAAAGCACTCTGAAAAAGCCAACAGCAGATGTGAAAAAGTCAGACGAAGAAAACAACAAGGATAAGAAACAAGACTCCAAGCCAGCAGCCCCAACACCTGGTACAAAAGCTTCCGATCAGAAGCCGGTCCCGGGAGCAGGAGCACCCAAGCCCCAAGGCACTGTGAACGGCTCAAAGCCCGGCGACCAACAGAAGCCAACCGCCCCGGCTCCACCGTCTAAGCCAGCGGACACCAAGCCAGCGCCACCCAAGCCAGGAGAGCCGGCCAAGCCAGAGGCAGCCGCCAAAAAGGAGGAAGCTGCAAAGACAGAGGGTGCAAAGCCCCCTGCAACCAATGGAGCTGCCAAAAGTGCTGCACCTTCGGCCCCAGCGGATGCCAAACCCGATTCGAACTTGAAGACAGCAGCCTCAGGAGCTCCAGGTGCCACCAAGGCTGCCAACGAAACCACCAGTGCACCCACGCAAGCAGCCAAGCCCGATGACAAAAAGTCGGGCGGTCAGGAGCAGAAAGGCTCCTCTGATGGAAAGCCCCCAGCCCCAACGAAAACTGACGAAGCGAAACCAGGTGAGGCCAAGTCCGATGATGCGAAGAAACCTGGGGACGATAAGGATAAGAAGCCGGGTGACGATAAGGATAAGAAGACGGCTGATGATAAGGACAAGAAGGCAGCACCAGCACCCCTGAAGCCGGCCATCAAGGTGGGTCAGAGCAGTGCCGCGGCTGGCGGCGAGCGGGGCAAGTCTACGGTCACGGGCCGCATGATTTCCGGCTGGCTGTAGGTAACTCCAGAGACCACCCAATTTCTCCTGATACTCGTATAATGTTAGATTTTAGTAGCCCAATGTATTAGTAAACCAATCGGATGCGAGCAATAAAGCAATTTCCAATGCAACACCGAATGCAGGAACATGTTCCCAGACACTTTTCGGACTGCGACTGCCCGCTGGTCCTTCGTTTATTCATTCATTTACATTTATGTGCTGCCTGGCTGGAGGGTTGCATGGGGCATGTTGCCATGGCCACCTGTTGCCAACACCCACTACATTTTGTCCAGCAACATTTTGTCAGCCCCCTGCTCCCTGCTCCCTGTTGCTCTTGGCGTAATTTATCTACGTGTCCGGCTATGCTCTGTGTCTGTATAAAAGACCATGAGCTGCGACCAGGACCATCAGAACATCATTGAACGTGCCAAAGGAAACACTTGCTGGAGCCAACAGTTTTAGAACTACAAGAAATAGTCTTAGCAATCTTATTTTTTCAAAATGAAAGCCATTTTCAGTCTGTACAACATTGTTAGTGCGATTTTGCTGCTCGTTTTGCTGGCAGAATTCAGTACGGCAGGTAAGTGCGAAAAATCTACTACCCGTAAGATACTAAGATACTCGTAAATGGTGCTTAAACGTGTGTACAACAATTGAATCCTTCGGCCTTAAAGAAGTTCATCCATTAAACCACCAATAAAAGGTCCCTAGGAGACTTATAGATCTCGTGGGCGTCTATGATTTTGATCCTAACCAAACCAACCAAACTTCAAAAAAATATACATATTTTCAATACGGAATGCTTAAGTAAATATTGTATAAATAATTTCCATTGGTATTTTTCAGGACCTTTAAAAGAAAAAGGCAAAATAGCTCCCATCCATATTCCATTTTCAATTCCTTGACTCTTTTTCATATATGTACTCTAATTTTTGAATTTGATTGCTTCGCTTCAAGACTCTGCATGAAATATCTTTATAATACACTTTGGAAACTTTAAGAAGAGGAGAAAATAATGACCCCTCCTAATTGCAACATTAATTTAAAATGATAAACACTCTATTCGGCTGCTTGCACAGAACTGAACCATGACAAGAATCGGCGTGGTGCCAACATGGGACTCTACGCGTTCCCCCGCGTCGGCCGCAGCGATCCCAGCCTGGCCAACAGTCTGCGCGATGCCAGTGATGCAGCGGTATTCGACGGCCTTTACGGTGATGCCTCCCAGGAGGACTACAACGGTAGGACAGTGGGGAGCAGGGGAGTAATGAGGGCTGGCTGGCATAACTGATATCTTCGGGTGTTTGGGGACGTGCCATTTCAGAGGCGGACTATCAAAAGCGGGCTGGTCTAGTCGCGTTTCCGCGCGTGGGACGCAGTGATGCCGAGCTACGCAAGTTTGCCCACCTCCTGGCCCTGCAACAGGTGCTGGACAAGCGTACCGGCCCCAGTGCCTCCTCGGGGCTCTGGTTTGGACCTCGTCTGGGCAAGCGAAGCGTTGACGCAAAGGCCTTTTCCGATGCCAGCAAGGGACAGCAGGAATTCAACTAAGCCGTGTCCTCCAGGACACCGGCGCAACGAATAGGAATCGACACGACGAAGAGGATACACATTCGGCATGTTATCATACAATAATTATTACTACTTCTACGTACGAGTTCTACTAACGAGATCAGCTTCTAATTTAACATTGTAATGGGTACAACACACTACACACGTAATAAATAATGAGCTGATCAGAGCTTTTATAAAATTAATATTTTCATTGCACATCGGGCTTACTTCTTCAAAAGTTAAATTTAAAATAAACATGTTCTAACAGATAATCCCCCAGATTATTGGGAATACAAACGAGTTTGAGTTTTGAGAAAAGTTTATTCCAAGTTAGTTTTAAAATGTTCATTATGTTATAGATACTTTGTGATGCATTGAAGATGTGTATTGTATGGTATGGATGGTTCGCCTTCTAGTTGTACTCCTGCTTAAACCTTCGCAATTCGCTTTGTATGGCCTCGATTAGAGGCGCTGCAGAGGCTGCCCTGGTGGCGGCTGCCTCCTTGGGCAGCTCCACCGGGTCCTCTGCCCTGTGATAGTGACCTGCACTCAAGGGACGGTTCAGCGTGGAGTGGGAGCTGTAGATGCTGCCCCCGCCCCACGCACTGTGGGTGGGAGAGGGCGGTTGCGTGGATGCCAGCTTTGCGGTCTTCTCCGGCTGGGCCGTTGCTGGACGATCGACAGCAGCTCTGGTGCTGGCTGTTGGATAAAAGCTTGAAGAGCCAACGAGACGGTTACTGGTTAGACAATCGTTCGGCATAGGAAGGCAAGTACGTACCTCGGCAATCCGGCGGATGACCCTCGATGCTCGCGGCTGGTGGCGCGTCTACTGTTTGTGAAATTGTGTGTGGGCAAGGGCATGGGAATGTCGTCCTGGCTGGCATACATTTGCAGGGCGCCCTCGAGTAGGCCCTCGTAATGGTTGCGTATAGCCGAGGGATTGTGAAAAGGACTTGCGTTATAGTCTGCATAGGCCAGAGCCTCTGGGGAAGATTGATTGGAGAATTTAAGTTCAGTTGGAATGTGTGTGTGGCTCGAGTTGGAAAGGGGGGAAGGCTCTTGCTAAGAGGTATCTACGTTGTTCATCAAGTAATCGTGTCTACAACTAACTAAATAAATTAAAGCAACAACTACGGTACGAGCAGGCATCGTTAGTAGCGGGACTGTTGTGACTTCGCCCCAAATCGAACGTCACTTTCATCATCATCGTTATCGTTATCGTCTTTATCGTCTTCATCGTCTTTATCATCGCTATTACGAGTATGACCGTGTTTGTCTCCTCCCGCCTCACCCTGACTTTCGGCGGCAGCCAAGCGTTTCTTGTGTCGCTCCCAGACCACGGGACCGACCACACCTGGATCTGGATTATCGCTGTGCGCAGCCGCAGCCGAGCGCACATTGCGAACAGAGTGCGGCGGGGCCTTGGGGCTGGGAAAGCTGGCTATGGCGGCTATGGTGCTGTCCTTACTGCCCACAGACTTGTGTGACTTCAGGGACCTCGTGGAGCTGTGCGGGGCCCCCGTCTTCGAGGAAACTGCATTCACATTGTCGTAGTAAGTGACGAAAACGGGATCCAGGACGCGGTTGAGGGGTTCCGGCAAAGTGCTCTTCGGGAAGGCGCGCACGGAAGCCATCGAGAGGAACGATCCCACGCTGGCAGTGTCGGAGGACTTGTCGGAGGGCTGCAGGGTGCGAATAATCTCGTTGTTAATGGCTTCAGGGGAAGCACCGCCTCCAGCTAATTTGTTGGCTCCCCCCGATTGCTGTTTGAGCAGTTTGTTGCGGTGATAGTTGTTGTGCAGATTGTACGCCTCGTTCCGCTGGAAGTTCTCGTAGCTGCGCCGGAGAGCATCCGGGGAGCGTTGGCTGCCCTCTTCCGCCGAAGAGTGCCCGGCCAGGGAGCCCTGGACAGGACTGGTTTCCAGTGAGCCAACGCGGTTCTCATTCAGGTATCGCCGCCTCGACTTGTGCCTGGACTTGTCGCTCTTCTTCTCCGAGACCACGGATGTGTAGACAGCATCTTCGTGCCCCTCGGCGCGGTCATACTGGTGCCGCCTCTTGTGGCCGTCGAAGAGCCGAGCCGCCTTCTCATCCAGGATGCGTTGCACATCGGCACTCGGGGGGTTGATGGGGCAGTACACCGACGAGTCGGAGGTGTTGTCCGTCGAAGAGATGGAGTCCTGTCGGGAACGCGACTGAGTCCTGTCCGCCGGTGGTGCTGGGAAGCTAATGCGTGGCTCTCTCTCGTAGGAAAAGTTCTGCACTCCGACGTCTCGGTCGCCATCAATGGCCTCGGTTGTAGAAGGCCGCATGGATTGGCCTTCCGAAAGCAATTCGTTGCGAGAAAAGTTTCTGCAAAAAAGCGTCTTAATATAGAGTCCTTTGAAAGCAGGAAAGAGGCAGAACCTACCTGTTGACTGCACTCAGTTCTCTCTGTCGGGCACGTGTCCGCCCCAGCAGCAGGACAGCCAACAGCAGGAGCATCAGCAGCAGGATGGCCAGGGAACTGATCACAACCAAGGCCACATTGTTCTTGACCGAATTGAAGAAGCCCGCCTGGCCACTGCGCGGAACAGGGGCCAGAGCTGTGGCCGTGGGCTCCCTGATGTAGGCTACACAACACACACACACACACACACACACAAGATAATAATAACATAATGAGCAATTCAAAGTAATAAGGGCTTACGCTCTGATTTCATGTATACGGCCTGCCCGAAAGTGCTGACCGCCTCGGCCTCGCTAACCAGTTCCATGTCCTTGGCGGCTGTGGTCGCCAGCACAGGCCGCCCGTTCACCAAAACCGTATAGATGAGCTCTGTCTGATTAGCAATGGGCCGATCACTGCTGTAGAATATACATATTATTTATAGCTACGAGTAAACTATATCTTTCATTAATCATTACAACTTGAGGTTGACAAAGTTTATGTTTTCCATGGCATCCGCATTGGCGTTGGTGCTCCAGTTCTGCACATCCGCCTCGCTAATTTGCGTGAGGTTGTGTATGACCACGCTGACACGCCCGTCCCTGCCCCTGTCCCTATAGAGGGGTACGGGTTGTTGTGGGTTCGGGTTCTGCTGTTGTTCCATGTCCGTTTCCTGAAACTTCTCCGACTTGCCGTTCTGCTGTATGAGCTCCCAGGGAATCAGGGTAACGTAGGCGCTGTAATCTATGGACTCGGTAGTCGCTGTGGGCGTGGCCGAGGCCATCTCGACCGACTCCTCTTCCGAATCACTTGACCATTCACTCCTTTCGCCCAGCGCCCTTACAGTCTTAATGTAGGGCTCATTGTCAACTCCCATATCCAATATTTCCACATCGTCGGCGGGCGAAAAGGTCGTGGGTTGGGGTTTTGTTGTCGATGTTGCCAGGGGAGATGACTTGCGACGCTCTCGGGGAGCTGGTACTAGCACGCCTTCGATTTGCTGGGCCCCGTTTATTCCCAGATGTCTTGTTTGTTGCCTTAGAGGTTCAAAATAATTACCTATGCACTTTGCTCCATGGCTGCTTCGGCTCTGATCGTTCTTACCTGGTGAATGCGAGACGATATAGACGCGCCAGCTTCTCCTCCAGAATGGGGTTATCTTTGGACGTGTAGAAGCCCGACGTGACCGTCAGTAACCAGTAGCGACGATCTGTTGCCGAGTAGTTCAAAGGGGGCATGCCAGGAGCGCCCATCTCCCAAGTGCCGCCCCCATCGTCAGGCCTGCAGTCCAGGCAAATGGGAATATCGATTTCCTAAGGGAAAAAGGCCATATATAGAATTGAGCGGAAGTGGATCAGTTGGGGGACTCACATTATTGCCATCCACATAGACAGTGGCCACCACAGTCTCTGTCTTGACAATCACATCCTTGCCCTTGCTGATGCCCGTGTGGACCTTCTTCAGATAGTCGGGCGGGCCATCGCCTGAGCCGGTCCAAAAGAAGTCTTCCAAATGGATCTCGTCTTTGGTTTCCAGATAATCATCGTCTGATTCATCTAATATAAAGACATAACGTAAGAGTAAGAGGGATAAATCATTGGAATACCTGCTTCTTTTGTTCGATTTTTCTGTTTCCCAGTTTGTTTATCCCCGTTGGAGTTTGTTTGATCAATTTATCTAACGTAACGATTCACTAAAAGCTGTTGCTATTGACAAATTGTGCTTGAGGTTCAACTACTGTGCCTATACCTTTGAATTGGCCAACGACTTCGATGGCCTGAATGACGAGAACGGGCTCTCTCTCTCTCTTTCGTTGCCCCTTCTCTCCGTAGACAACTATAAATATATCGATTAGCGGAAGCAAATCGGTTCCCATAAACCAAAATCTGCTCTCGAGCAGGAACTTAACCAGGTTCTTGCGTGTCGGGTTGGCTGTGCAATTAACTTTAATGTACACATTGTACAATATTGTACACCTGTGCTGATTTCGCAGGTCAAAGCACCTGGGTCGCCTGGGTCAATCCTGACCCGACGATTCTCTGCCTGCCATTAGTCCATATTGCTTGTCCCATATTCTTGGTGTTTTGGTTGGTTGGCTTATGCCCATAGGCTCTACGAATTATGACGTTTTAGAAAACCATTTTTACATAATTCACTGGGCACTGACGCATAGCGCCAAAGGTCAAGCCGATTGCTCCCCGTCAACACCACCGACCCGCCAACCCAACGGGGAACAGTTCTACTCTGGGGCCCACAAGTACCCGAGTGATACGAGTACCTATTGTACTGGAATACAGAACCACTAGAATTTCCCTGGATGCTCAACTTACCGTGACTCAATTGTATAAGCGGCTGCTGTCCGAGCTGCTCCGACGTTGGCGTTCGACCGCTGCATCTGTGGCTCTGTAGAATGGCCAAAACCGAAATAAGAAGCATCGCAGTCGGGCGTTTAACTTTCATTTTCACAAGAATTACTGTCCAGTTATGCGGTCATTCGCGACTGTTTTCATTTCCCTCTTGAGTTCTTAGTGGAATCACAATTTCGAAGGAAATCTTTCCACTCTGTGACGCTCGTTTGCAGTCGCGCTACTTGCACCGTCGAACGTTACCCGGGAACTAAACGCTCCATTGTAACCCAAACATACCCGGCCCTGGTGGTGGTTGCTCCCACATACTAGGTACGAGTATATGTACATATAAGCCCTCTCTGTTTGGGTCGGTTGGTCAGTTACCTGGGCAACGACGGCGGAAACGGCAACAGGCAAGCGTCGGAAAAACGAGCCAGGCACCAGTTCGCATTTGGTAAACAATGAAAAGCTGTACATACCTATCGGAAAATGCCGCTAGATCGGATTTTTCTTCTTCTTCTCCTGTCCCAAACACACACTAGAGTCCATGCAAACGTATCTTCCATTCGCACCCTCGTGAGGTACATTCCCGAATACTCAAAAGCCTATTGGGTTTCCCACCAGAAAGCTCTTTTGTCTTAGCACAAATGCTGAGTGCTGTGTAACCATTTCAAGCACTTAGTACGTGTGCTCATGCTTGAGTCGACTAATTAGGTAAATCATAAATTAGGTGTATAATGCATGGGCAAACAAAACGAATTGGACTTCTTTGTTCGAGCTGTACGACAGCCGTAACAATGGGCCAAGGTTCCACGTGTAGGCGTGAGAAAAAATCCCCGAAAACGAAAAAAATACAATTTATCATCCAACAAATCCCATTTTGACAACTTTTGAGTACCCCTAAGATGATGGCAAATCGTTAAATTCTTAATTCATTCCGTTTCCGCGGACAAAGTTATTGCAATGATGGCCCGTGATAGAGGGCCGTGAACTTATACTTGTCTAACGATCGGCTTAAAGTTAAGCCTTTGATTTTAATGGCAGTTTCAAAATCACGTAAAACGACGCACCAGCAATCGAGCACTGATTGGAAAGAAACACCAAGCTGTCCATCAAAAATGTGTACAATGGCCACAGAATGGGGAACGAGTTTCGGTGCGGACCATTAGAACGCACTAATTTGTCTTCACAACAACATTAAGACTATTTGAAAGGTCAAGATTATTACGCAACAGAAAACTCGTCTATCCAGAGGGGAGCTTGATGATAATGAAACATCTAAACTTGATCTTGGCCAGAAACTGATACAGATTGGGGGGGGCAGAGTATGTCCGAGATTCCATACATAGGTGTCATATTTATAACCTGTTCTCAAGGTGATCGATCACTAGTTTTTAAATGTTTTATATTTTTATTTACAAATTATTGTAAAACACCGAGTTCTTATCCAGCGGCGGACTTCAGAGCGCCAGGGCTCAATTTGCGGTTCTTCAGCTGATAGCGCGCCTTGTAGCCGTCCTTATCGGCCGTGTACATGGTGACTGTGTCGGTGTCAGTCTTCTCATCGTAAACGGAGTAAGAACCCATCACGACCAGTTCTTCCTTGTCCGTGCCGGGATTCATAATGACACCGATCTCCTCCCGCTTGCTGCCGTTGGGCTCCTCCAAGCTGCAAATCGAAGGTACTCGTAATGTTTGGCTTGCCTCCAAGTGGGGTCTTCTGTGACTTACTTGAAACGGTAGCCCTCTTTGGTGGGTGCTTGATTGTAGAACTCCGTCACAATCGTCGGATAAATATAGTCAAGGAGACCTCCAGAGCAGCTGGCCGCCATGATGGCCACCAATGCCGTGAAAAGTAGCTGGAAAATCAGAGAGACACTCGCAGTTAATTCTGATCCGACGGTAATCGCTATTAGCACAGCTGCACAACAAGATTTTCATTCACTGATTGCTTCTGTTTAGTTTTGCACACATTCTTCACACGCCATTGTAATTACTGATCATTGGCATTCCTAAGGTCTCGGTCTCAGTCTCTATCTCTGTCCCGATATGGGCGTCGGTTGGAGACCCTTGCCCTGAGCAGGTGGTATGTAGTTACTTACCAGTTTCGCTGAAGCCATGTTGGTGCGCGCTGAAAATACCAAGCGATACTAAACCATCAGACGCGAGCCCCTAACTATATAAAAGTTAAGATCTGCATACGATGTTTCAAGCTCTGTCGCCAGCTAGGCCGCGGCTATGTGTTGAGGATCGTATAAGTCATATTTTCTACTAAGTTGTTGTCACTAAAACCGGTCGGTCAAATGCCGAAAGAACGTCAGAGCCATCACATCGCATATCTCGTGGCTTTGTTTGTTTTATTTGGAGGATCCGAAACTTGTACAAAACGCGAAAGTCCGAAGAACCTGATGGATATAGTTACGTCTTTACCATTCTATTCTGAAATATAGTCTACTCTGTAGACGTTGTCTTTCTTTGCACTTTTAGCATTTGGATCATAATGTGGCTGCCCTTGAATTTGATTTTGGGCAAATCTTCTCTTGATCAATGGCATGTGCACGAATTCATAGTCATGTATTCATGCATGAATGTACATATGTACATGTGTGTATGAATATTAAGTTTTATATTTGCATACGGTTTTGTGGGGATCGGGTTCTCCAAAAAGTACCCCTAACTGGTTTTTTCCGCCAACATGTGGGAGGAGTCTTAAAGGCGCTTTAAGTAATGATGATTTTTCCATTTCGTACACATTGTTTGGATCGCCGCCGTTTCGGTATATCCGAACATGAGGTGTAAGGTGTCTATGAATCATGGCAGGGATTGCACGGTATTAATATTATTACATTTTTGTCTTGTGTGACTCGCTAAATTGCAGTTACAAGTAGTTCCGGATCAAAGCGGATATTGAATCCACACCCTCATCGGATATGTCTCAAAGGGCTTGGTTTCCATGTGAAAGTCCCGCACCAAACCTTTATGCTCAGAAAATCCCTTGAGATCATATAGCGATCTGAATTGCTCAGGTTCAAATCAGTGATGGAGCTGATTATCCCGCCGAAGAAGCTGCGATTCGTTGTATAGTGCCCTAGGAGCTCGAATAGGCGAAAACATTGCACTCGGTCGGGTGGAATTTGGCTGTCGTCTCGTCGTTTGACCCGATGATGGAGCAGATCATTTAAAGCCCTGTAAGGTCGTGGCCTTCTGCCTCATGCCTCTCTATTTGCCGGTCTGTTAGCTTTTTCCATTTCGGTTTTTGTTTCCTTCCTCCTTCCTCTTTTCTCCTTCTCTATATCTTTTACTCCCTAGCCACCCTCTCAATCAATTCGATTTTCTTCTTCTTACTAGAATTCAGTTTATGCTAAAAAGTATGCAGTAAATTTGGACCCTAGCATGATGTAGAATACGTGTAGATACAGTTCATGTAAATGCCAAAAGATGGTGCTGTTCGTTAACATGTTATGTTACAAAAGGAAATGTTAAAATATTCAGGTAGCACGCTGCAATGAAGAGTGTGTGACAGAGAGGGAATGAGTTAGCGCGGGGCAGGCGTTGCGTATCCACTGCAGGCTATAATAATAATCCCATCTGATCCATCCATCTGATGATTCGGCACTCTGATAGATATGGTCAATATCTATAATTCGGCACTTGTGACTATGTGATATGTTAGGACTATACTACTGCTGGTTTGTAGAATTTAATCGTGACATTTCGTTACATATCGTGAGATAGAGGCATCCTTGCACATTTGTTGCACTTCAATACCCCATTAGATACCCCCCAATTTATCAATCGCTCAAAAAAGACTCGCGTCGATTACAGATTTAAATGCTTAAAAAGTTCGACCGTGGTGCTTCAAAAGACGTTTATATAATCGTGATAGGTATATGCTTATGAGCCAGAAACTAAACAGCAATCGAGTGGGAGTTCCAAGATGAGCAAAATCCCACAAAAGTTGTTCGAGCACGAGGCACTTTGAAGAAAATGGTCGCCCGTTTCTTCGGGAGAATGGGTCATGTGGCCATTGTTCCGCTAGATCTACGTAGGACTGTCAATCCCGCAATTTTTTTGCGGGAACGGCAGTGTACATGGGTTTATAAGATTTATAATATGCGGTTAACCAAGGGGATGATATAAAGCATTGGCTTAAATATAAGTTTTTACCGTGCAGGATTTTATTCTACCTTAAATTAAGAGCAACGGGTACAAATATTAGCAAATTCGTTATTAATTGCTAGAATATAAATCTAGAGAATTAGTCGGTGTGTCTCATCTGACAATGGTAACTAATTTAGCAAAGGCAATCTAATCTGCAGCAAGGCATTGCTGGGACCATTTGTTAAAAATTGATCCATTTGTGAGTAGAGATTTACTGCCTGAATCAAATCACAGCACCTCACCCTCGAGGAAGCCTTAAATCTAGCCAGAAGTCGATAAGATATTCAACAGGGTATAGAGTGGTCAATCATATGCCCGAAATAGTCACACCATAAAATCAGGCAATGAATGTTCAGAAATACCCATACATAATTACGGCTATCCAAGAATCGAGTGATTTACCAATGAAACAATTTAAAGCTTTCGATTCTCAACTGATCAAAGAATGGAAATGTGACATGGTCCAAAGAATCCAAAATTTCTAGAGGGATTACCTACCTACCTGTTACCTACTTATGTATGTATATAATTATTCGGTGAAAGGATGGACGATCCTGGATGTGGATTCCCATTCTGATCGTGGCCCCCAAGTAATGTTAATCACTTAATCCCAGAGATCAATTAAAAATGTACAGGTTCAGGCTTTTACTGTTCATTTTCTGGCTTTATTTAAGTACTTATCATAATACTCATCGTTGGCTATTGGTTTTCAATATAATACTATGCACAGCAGTAATATCGTGGGGGTGGGACTTGGATTTCGCTCAACAAAATTCGCAAATATTTCGGCAGAGGCCAAGGTGCGAAACGAACAAATGTAAAATAAATATAAATATGCGTACGAGTATACCTAAACTAGGCGACAATGGAGGATTGGCCCAACTTAAATGCTAATTAAGCTGCGAGCCATGTGAAATCTTACTGTCGACGCGACTTTGGCCATGTGCGTGGGCGACCAGTCGGTGGCCTCGGCGGGGCTCACAAGACTAACCTAAGACTGAGACTGCGACTAAGCAGAGACTAAGTGTGACGAGGTTGTAGCGGTCAGCAGATCGCATTTCAAACGGCTCAGGCCGAGCCCTTCTCCGCCAGCTTGGAGTGCAGCGTGGTGAGGTCGTAGATCACGACCAGGTCCTTGTTGAGGCCCTCGAAGACCTGCGCCACGCGCGGCTGGAGGTTGTAGAAGAACAGCGGCTGCTGGCGCTGGGCAAAGTCCATGACCATCGTGGAAATGACCTTGGCGGCGGTGAAGTCCGCTCCGTAAATGTGGGTGCAGTCGATCACAACGGGCAAGGTGGACTTGACTCCCTGCTTGTTGATCACCTTGCGAACGAACTCCATCGAGGGGAAGATCAGGCAGCGGTCGGGCGTGAGCATCAGGTACTTCAGGCCACTCGATGTCTGCGGAGGGAGAAGGATTTTTAGAGATCTTTTGTATGGGCGCGGCACTCTGGGGAGGACTCACCGCCAACGTCTCGATCCGCAGCTTGGGACGGGCCGCCTGGTAGAGGATGAACACCACATTGATGCCGATGCCCACGAGGATGCCCAGCTGCAGAGGCAGGACCAAACAGGCAAAGAAGGCGCCCAGGCCGGGAATGAGATCGGTTTCTAATGGGAGGAAGGGGGGGATAACATGAATAAACATTTTAAGGTTTCCAAAATATGCAAGAGCAACTCACTTTTGCTGTGCCACATCGGCTTGATCACTCGATACTGCACCATGAAGACGACGGCTGCTATGATGATGGAGGCGAGGGCCGCCTTGGGGATGTAGTAGAAGCAGGGGGTGAGGTAGAGCAGGGCGATGATCACGATCACGCTGGTGTACAGGTTCGAGAGCTGGGTGCGCACTCCGCTGGCATTGAGGATGGCGCCCCTCGCAATGCCTCCGTTGCTGCGCAGACCCTGGACGAAGGAGTTGGCCACGTTGCAGACCCCGGAGGCAATCAGCTCCTGCGTGGCATCTGTGGGCTTGCCATCGGCTGAGAGAAACATAGGCAGTCAGCAGAGTACATCGAAGGAATCACTAGCAAACTCACCAAAGGCCTGGACCACTGCCATCGTCTCGAGCAGGGCAATCAGCGGGACGACAATGAGGCCCGAGCCCAGAGTGCTGACCATATCCCAGAAGCTCTGGCCATCCACCAGCACCTCGCCGGTGGTTTCGTTCACAACAGCGTCGATGTGGAACGGCGGCGGCTGGAAGGAGGGCATGCCCTTGGGCACAAATCCCACCGTGCGGACGAGATCCTCCTGGCCGCTAACCGAGAGCCAGTACCCCAGACCTGCAGTGCCGCAGACGAGGAGAGCGTTCCGGGCCGTGCCCACCGTCCAGAAGATCCCCGTGAGGAGCGCCTGGCCGGAGGACTTGCCCTCCTTGGGGCCGACGCTGCAGCTGGCGAGGGCGCGCAGGCTGAGCAGCAGTGTGATGCAAATGAGGCCGAGGATAAAGTCCGGCCAGCTGATGTTGTGGATGTCATTCACGATGCTGATCCACACCTGCAGGAAGGTGTTGCCGCTGGTCTGGATCCCGAGAAAGTCCTTCATCTGGGAGCTGAAGATGATCAGGGAGACGGCGCTGGTGAAGCCCGCCCCCACTGGTCCCGAAACGAAGTCGATGAGGAAGCCCAGCCGGAACGCGCCCATCAGGATCTCGATGATGCCCGTGAGGAAGGTGAGCAGCGTGGCGATCTGCCAGCTCCCGCCCGCGATCTGGAAGGAAAGCAGCGCCGAGATGGCCGTGGGACCGATGGGCACGTCCTTGCTCGATCCGATAAAGATGTAGATGAAGCACCCCAGAAAACAAGCGTACAGACCGTACTGCAGGTCCAGCCCCGCTATGCCCGCGTAGGCCAGGGCCTGGGGAATCACCGTCAGCGCCACCGAGATGCCCGCCACAAGGTCGCCGAAGATGTAGTCCTTCTTGTACTGCGGCAGCCACGTCAGGATGGGGAAGCGCTTGTACAGCGTCTTCTTGCGGAAGATGTTGTGCCACAGGCTGCGGCAGCAGCCCCTCGAGGCCTCCAGGCAGCTCTCCGACTCCCCGGACTGCTCCTCCTGGACGATGCAGTCGCGCGACGTGTGATAGAGGGTGTTCGTGGGGATGTCCAGGGACACCTCAGAGTCCTCGTTGAAGGCCCCATTGGTGTGGCCGTTGTCCTCGCTGCGCGTCATTCTGGATGGATGTTGTGCGTAGTATTTTGTTGTGTCTTCTTGTCTGTTCCTTTTCTCTGTCTTCTTGTAGCCTCTATGGCCACATGGCACTCTCACGGGAACACTTCACTGTAACACTGATTGATCTTCGATCTCTGGAGCTTTGAGGCTGGGAGGCTGGAGGAGAACCGAAATGTACCGGAGCGAAGCGAACTATTCGCGTGCCCGTCCACTGGGGGAATGAATCGAAAACTGTCGCAGAGATCGGGCAAGAGCCAGCGGCAACGGCAGAAACGGCAGCAGACTAACAGTCCGCCGACTGCTGGGAACTGATTATAAAGAGTCGCTGGCAGCGGCAGCGCTTTCGAGACTATCCGCTGGCTTTCGTTATCGCCACTGCACCCCCCTCCCTCTGTCACCATCTTCCAGCGAACCCCCCAGCGTTAACCACACGCCCCAAACCGGCTCTCGACGAGCGCCCGCCTGTCGGCCGAGCGTGGGAGGGGGGCTTTTCATCGTGTAATTGCCCGAAGAAATGTAAATGACGCAGACCACAATAACCCCCATATGTGGACGGAATCAGGGGCTGCCCGGACACGGCTGTAAGTCGAGACTTTTGTGGGAAAAAGGCGCAGATTTCGCAGAGGGAAACTCCAACTGTAATGGAATCGTGTTCCCATATTCAACTTCCAAGCCGAGCTGAACCCACCAGAAAGTTCTTCTGAACCCGTGGAACCCCACTAGTTTGGTGTGTGTCACCTATGTTAATCCTCCATTAACCTCATAGTGGACATGGTATACACGAGTCGACAAACGAAGGAGTGCTGCAAGGAAGTCTCTGACTCTGATATACAGGGCATTCCCTGTGCGGTTTAAGATCTGGTATTTTTCTAAGAGATGTTGCTGGTTTGCCCATTTCTACAGGGTATCCCTTAGCCACCTTCGCATGTTTCCCTTGCTGCCTGCTTGGAAAATCAACAACTTTTGCTGCGATTTTCTGCACGTGCTGGCCCCGAACATGGGAACCTGAGCAGCCGTCGCATTCCATTCCATGCTAATCGATAGGATTTTCACGCCCCACGATGGAGATTGGAGGCACAAGACCCAGCAGATTCCCAGGCTTCCCCATCCAAGCCGATTTCCACATCATTGCTTTAATGCAAATGCAAATGCAAATACGATCCGAATTGTTTGCTTTGATGCAATTGCATTCGATTGCATCACTTGTTCTAAGGGAAGGTGGGAGTCTGCCATAGAAGGGCGCGAACTTGGATGATTACGGAGTGAATCTGATGCAATATGGTTTGTTCAAAGCATCTCTGTTCACCGAATTGTGTATCCTCTTGAAAGTACCCCATGAACGGGGCCATAGCGCCACAGGCGGAGGCTATCTTTACTGCCTGTGGGCTATCGGCTATCGGCTACCGGCTACCGTCTATCGCTTTCGTCGCTGCTTGTCGGCACGGGAAATCAATCAGCCGTAAGAGCATATAAATCAGTTTGAAGTGTGCGCGCTTCATAAATCAATCGTACGAGTACGGCTGAGATAAAAGCCGGAATTTAGCTGACGGAGGGTTCCTCCACACCGTGCCACTCCGTACTAGTTCTCCCACCATTTCGGCATCGCCTCAAACCGGTCGAGCTGCCACAGTACATATTATTAGTCCGTCAAACTGTCCATCCATCTATCGGCTGTAAGTGGAATAACTCAATTGCCAATTAAGTAAGATTCGCGGTTCGGTAGAGCGATCCATAGATCTTGCTACGACTTTAATGGGAATTGCCGGACTGCAGTTCTGGTCGTGTCTTTTTTTTGCGGTTCTTTTGCGCATTTGCATACCAAGAATTTTCTGCAGAATTCAGAACATAAAGTAAAAAAACTGGAATCCCTTCCTGGGGGTTTTTTTCCACTCAGACTCTGCCCCGGAGACCTTGTCTCCAAATGGTGCCCCTCTTTGTTATTAATCGCATATTAAATCATCTTCGATACGGAACAAAGTCTCCCACCAAATGGGGAACACGCGTCCAGCGGCTGATCTATTGCGCAGAGCTGAAAGCGATCAAACTAATGGAAAAGAGACACCTTTTTCTCAGAGTAAGCGTAAGCCGACGATTGCCTGCCCTTCTCTGGCGGTCTTCTATGGAATGTGGGTGAGAGTACCCCCCGCCCTGGGATCCATTCGCATTGATCTCTGATCGATCTGTTCTCTGCGATACTTTCACGCCATTCCCCGCGAATATTTATAAGTTCAGTCGCCCGTTCAGTGTGGATTTTGTGGCTTAATCAGATATGTAACACTCGGAGGGGCAATTCGCGTTACTCATACGCAGTGGGACAGCGAAAACCCCCCGTAGAGGAACGGGGAACATAATAGAACAATTAAATGTGCATAACTAACCCGAGAGTCAGACAATTATAATTTTTGAGCACATTTAATTCGCTTTTAATTTCGCAGGCGTGCGGATAATTGTTTTGACTGATTCTCTGTTTGTCTCTGCTGTTTCTCTTCACCCTTCTATCTCGTTTTTTGGTTAGACGGCATTTAACCGTGGCCAACAGATGCTGGGAGGCTGTCTGGAAGGCTTAGTCGTCTTGGCCAGCATAAATCTTGAGTGTGCGTAGGCGGCCTACTTTTGGAGAGATTTGTGATCTCTCTAGGCCCTTGAGCGGGTCCAGATTTCGGCAGTTATAGTCGGGGGAGGGCACCATGGAATCCCAAGGTGTTTGCCTGTTTGATAAGCGCAATCACGTGGAGTGGGGAGTGGGAAGTGGGGATGGGAGTGGAATGGCCTCCCCCTACGGCGGAAAGGCTTGTCGATCTGTATGCACTGCTTGCTCCAGATATGTACTTGCTTATGGAAAGCACGTTCCAGGGAATGTGATTATAACTGCAACTGCATCTGAGTCTATAGGCAGATCTCGAAAGGCAAACAGCGGCGAACCCCGAACAATGAATGGCAAACAAACAAACAAACTGTTAATTGAGCATTCGGTCAATTGTATGAGGCTTAAGCATTACGCAAGCTTATCACCTCCACCCCCTCTTGGCAATGTTGGCAGTCTTGGCACTCGTGTGCAGCGGCCTGCATTGAGGCGTGTAAAGTACCCGAACGCCGAAGTAAGGCTTCACGTGACTCAAACCCGTCGGTCGGGTATCCAAATCGGGTGTTCATGCTCGAATATCATGTCGATATTTATCTGCGAGACGACACTCGGCGACGTCTGAGGTCAGAGTCGAGGAAGTCCCCCTGTAATGGATGTCAGGGACCCAGGCTCAATGGCAGCCAAAGCCAAATGCCAGGGGCATGTCCAACAAAACAGACCCGCAGATCATCCAAGAACCTCCCCTCCAGCCAGACGAGAAAAACAAGTAAGCGAGCACCCTCTTGGACCTGGCCAAAGCGATTCTCTCTCACGTGATCGTATCCGATCCAAAGCGATCCAAAGCGATCCAAAGCGATCCAAAGCGACCCGGGTCGGCGGAGACGCTTGTTGCTTTTATGGCGGCAATAACCGCAGAAATGGCAGCGAAACTGAATTAATTTTGGTCACATGACCGGGCCAGAAGAAAACAAAACGAAATGTAGATATAACCAGCTGAAAAAAAAGAAGAAAAAGCACTTCAGCATCTGTCGTTTGTATATTTTTACGCACACCATCATCAGAGGGGTACTCAAGAGGTGAAAGGAAGGTTTTTGCATTGGAATTTCAGCGAAGAGAAGACAGGGAAGTATGGGGTTTCACAGAAGACATCTAACGCTCGAGAGGGTAAAGCACCTTCTATTAAAGTAATAGTACCCCTCCAGGCTTGGGTACCCCTGCTGCTGCTGGCGATGATGATTTAAATGTAAAGCATATAACGAGTCCGAGTCCGAGTCATCGGAATGCTAATTTTGAGCGATCTGGTCGTGTGACTAGTTTTGTTTTGCTGTCGTCATCTCGAATAGATTCATTCGTACTGCCAGACAAAATGCAAATCATCGAAGCGTAGAGGCCAGAAATCGTTCTCCCGCCCCCAAAGGGCAATGCTATGGGAACTACTGGCATATGCCGATGATGGTCCATTAAAATGTGGCGGCTAATTTCGCAGTCAGGTGCTAAATCCAATCCAATCCAGTGGCGTGCTAATGGGTCGCCAACGAGCTGCGCAAATTAACAAATCAATTTTCTCGAGTGATAAACAAAAATCAAACAAAATCACACGACGGAAACAACAGAGAGTTCCCGGTTATCAGGCATGCCAAATGCCAAACATTTCAGCGGGCGAGACAATTGAAATTGTAATTGGATCTGAAAATGCTGGTGTCGCGGGGTGGGAATGATAGAACACGGACCCATTACAATTGATGGCCCGCTAATGGCAAGGGAGCCGCTACTACTGCGATGATCTGGACCCATTCCCATGCCCCGAGAGACCCGTGCCTCCAGACGGAAGTCAGTTCAATGCACGCCATGCCATGCCACGCCAGGCACACGCGACTCGGCCTGTGGGTGGGGAGGGGGCCTGGGACTATTCCAGGGGTTACCCGAGCATGTGCATTGTTTCGATTCCCATTTAAATCCAACAATTAGCATAGCAGTGTCTTCTAAGATTAGTGGCAGATTTCCTGGGGATTATCTAGCGCGTTTTTACAATGTTTTTGTTTGCTTTTCCCCGCAAGTCGCTAGATAATGGAGCAGCAGATGTCACATTGATGGAGCCGAGCCGCGAAAAGGTATCTCTGCTGTGTGCTGCTCCGTTTCTGTTTGGATTTGGGCGTGCAAACAGCGCAAGGTTTATCGCTTTTGGCCCCTAGGCAGCGGTAGCGGCAGCGGCAGCGGCAGAGGTAGAGCTAGAGGCCAGCGCCCGGCAAATATGCGGCATTGTCTGAGATCAAATATAGATAAAAGACCCCAAGTACCGATCGTCATCGGAGCTGCATTCCTCTGGAGCTGTGGCATTTAGCAATGCAAATTTATCGCATACCAGACTAATCTGTGTGGCTCTTCTGATCCATGATTTATGTGCCCTGAGGAGGCAGGTGGTCTCTGATTTATGTCCCAGAGACGGAGACCAGACTGTAGCTGTTGCACAAGCGTTAGTCACGCGGAACAGCCCGGAGATGCAGTCGGACACTCTTCACCCTCCGTTGTAATCTTATCAGATGTCTACATTTCCGTACACAGACGACATCTGTCATATACCTAGGGTTTTTTGTGTGCGCCAACACACGACTCAAAATTATGATCATTTATGGAACGGAATGGCCGTTCAATTAAGTGGATGCCAATTGAAATCCATAAATTCTAGCCATAAAGATACACCTTTATGGATCGCTGCAGTGGGACGAGGCGGCTAATCTGCACTGAGAGTCCGGGTCGGATTTGAGTACAATCAGATTTTATTTCGACAAACTACTGTGGGCTAGAGCTTAAGACTACAAGAGAGAGCTGGTGAGGGTGCCCTGGAGAAGCACGAAACGAGTGGAGTGAAAGTCTTGCTTTGTAGTGTAGTATAGTGGAGTGGGTGTTGTTGGGCGTAAGGTAATGCCTGAAAGTATGCCTTGATAGCCGGTGTACAAGTGTTATTGGACTGGATTATTTGTTTATTTGAGCAAACGAGCGAGCGCTGGGCGCCTTGCAATGGTTTCTAAAGCGAAAAAACAAGCAATATAAAGAAGAACATAGCACCCCGAAGGATCCGGGGATGAAAATTTTTTGGGACCTCAACAGAATGAACTAAAAAGTGTGGGTGAGTATATGGGATACATGGGATGAGTGTGTAGTGTTCGCAGGGGATCCTTAGTCCTCCAGGGTAACGTTGCGGAAGAGATACGACATGGACTCCTTGTTGTGGATGCGGCGTATGGCCTCGGCGATCAGTATGGAGATGTCGATCGTCTTGATCTTGTGGCACTGCAGTTTCTGTATCTCGTGTGGAATGGTATTGGTGACAACGATCTACGGCAAACAGATTGAACGAAGAGTTATCCTTAGAGCAGAATGGACAAACGGGGCTCGAACATACCTCATCAATGCAGGACTCATCTAGCAGACGGGGCGCATCTGAGCTGAGCAGACCGTGCGTGGCCAGCACGTAGATCTTGCAGGCTCCGTTCTCCTTCAGCATCTCGGCGGCGGCCACAAATGACTGGACATCATCAATCAGATCATCCTGGGAGGAGACCGACAGAGATTAGGGGCGTGGTTAATGGCGAGCGCTATAGGCATTCTCTGTGAGGAATTATACTCACAACCATGATGGCTATGCGTCCATTTACATCGCCCACGATCGTGAGTGGCGGCTTGACCTTCACCGGATGCTCCGGCACGCCCACCGACACCGAGGTGGTGCGCTGTCGGCTGCTGCTGCTGATGGGTGCGTGTTGTGGAGTAGAGTTTCTTTACGGATTAGAGTGGTTGGTCGAGGGTCCGAGGGTCGATTGTGGTGCAGTGTGTGGTGTCGTGTGTTGGTAACCAAAAAAGAAACAGAACCGTGTGGGCGGGGGTTGGGGAGTGGGGAGAAAGGATGGGGGGTTGAGTGGCAATCGATTAGAAATCATAAATTAATTCGAATGAATAATCAAATAAATAAAAAAATACGCACCTAGGCGCCGCTGGAAAGCACATTTCAACTGAATTTCCTAATAAATTGCTATACGCACTGCTTGAACACAAATAAAGAGAAATTTCGTTTGTTTTTCGTCTTTTCGAATGTTGGATTTTGAATTTCGGATTCATCTGCTGCCAGCTGCCTCGCGTATCGAGCTTCTGGCAGTGGGTGGAAACAGAAGCGAAAGCAGAGCAAAGCGGCTACAAATCGGAGGAGTCTACGGATAAAGTGCCTCCTGTCTGTCTACGGCTGTGAAGTACGGTCTACAGGACAGAAGCCAACGACAGACAGAACAGATCTAAATGGTCTAGCGAATGGCATATGTCCATGGAAGGGTGCGTTTCAGAAGAGTGAGACACTTGAAAGGTACCAATATTTGCAGATAAAGCATGAGCTTCATCTACAGACAATGGATTGGATGTTGAATAAAGCATTCGATTGCTCATCAGATATGCGAATTCTCACTGCAATAGTGGAGTTTTCCTTTCATTTGTCTTTGTTGACAATTCCGAAACGCACACACTTCCCATTTATGATATTTTTGAGATAAACACGAGTCGTATAATGATTTGATAGCTTTGCGGGTGATAAATGACGAACATTCTAGTGCTTTTCCAAATAAAACAATACAGATTCTAGTGCAGAGTGCTAATCGAGTGATTCAAAGTGCTTCCAGCTTCGGTTTTAAAACAAAGCTTAGGGGAAAAGATCAACAGAACACAACCAGAACACAACTCATGGAAGAACAGACAATTGCTAGGGCCGGGATAGCAGCGAGGCCTACAATTGAGATCTGCGGACTGGGGACTTACCTGGTCGGCGGAGGCGAGTAGCGGCCATCGACCTCGTCGCTTTCTGCCTCCTTTTGCTCGCCATGGATGACGGCCAGGCCCAAACGCAGCCGCTCCGCATAGGAGTTGGCCTTCTTGGCTACGCCTGGATTGCGGGCCACAATCACGGAATTGCGATATTCGGGTATCTGCCAAGGGATGCATTTAGTTTAGTTCTCTGTGCATTTTCCGGACTATTCTATGGCTGGCACTCACGCTCTCCTGGATGTACTGCAGAAGGAAGGGCGAGGCCCGCAGGTTGTCCACGGGTATATCGAAGAAGCCCTGGATCTCCTTCTGGTGCAGGTCCATCGTGATGATGTGCGTGAGGCCCGAGGTGCACATCATCTTGGCCAGCAGCTTCGAGACGATGCAGCCACGCTTGCGCATCTTGCACTGCTTCGAGTACGGCAAGTACGGGATCACGCCCACAATGGAGCGGGCCGACGAGGTCTTGCACGCGTAGGCCATGATTAGCAGCTCCATAATGTTGTTGTTCGCGTCCCTGGGGGAAAGAGGAGAAGATTGTTAGATGGGCGACTCGCTATTCTACAGATACTGTGTCTACTTGGTGCCCGTCTGGATGATGTAGATGTCCTTGCCCCGCACCGAGTCACTGATCTCGACAATCGTCTCTCGATTGGACTTGTGGAAGACGGAACAGCCGCCGTTCTTCAGACCCATGCGATCGGCGACCATGTTGGCGAGATCCGGGTGCGAGTTGCCATTGATGATGACAATGTCCGACGTGGAGGTGTTGTCCATGTCGCTCCTGCAACGCTTCGGTGGGCGCACACTGCCTAGTCTGTAACGTAATCAGAGCACACGATAATTAGGGGACACATAGAACAGGGCAAGGGGGGAAAACGAAATGGAAACGCAACAGAAACAGTAACAGAAAACATAAAAACAGAAAGCGGGGAATGGGTGCGGTGCGGTGCGGTGCGGGGGGATAGCTACCTGCGTTTGGACATTCTACTGGGGATTGGGTTTGGGTTCATTCACTCCCGTATTCCGTAATCCCATAACCATTAATATAACGCATACGCCACCGCGTTGCCGCAGTCGTTACCGTTCCCACGTTACCCTCGCGCGCACTTGGGGAGCCCTGCCGCACGTATATCGATTAGCCCCAGTGAACCAATTCCTCAACAGAACAGAGAACAGAGAACACAGAACCGAACCACGGATAGAACGCAATCGCAATTAGTGCTGCTGCTGCTGCTACTGATACTTTGTTGCCCAGTTCGGTGGCGACTCCCTGGCTAGCGCAACCGAAACAGAAACCGCAGCCGAACGCCAGTGCGCATTCCCTCTTCCGGTATTCGGGTAATCCGGTATCGATCAAACAAGGGGCACCCCGTACACATGTGAGTGGCGTGGCAACGTCAACGTGTGCCGCCGTCAGACCCACAGCGGAACCGCCACTCAGTCAGAACCGTCAGGCAGTCGGCAGTCGAGCGAGAGGAGGGAGCGGAGGAGCGTCTGCTACACGGGGATTAGCACCATCTCAGATAGAAATCTACGCGCACGCGACTTGCCGCGACATTCGAGTGGCATCGAAGAAAAGTGAAAGCCAAAGGAAAGCCAAGGAACCCCATCTTCAGGTACAGGCCAGTGGTACAGTGGGGCGTGTCGGTGGCTAATTGAATTTCTATTTCTAAACTCACTCGCAGGTCACTCGAGGTGGAAGGGCGAACTGGAGACAGCAGCAGGAGCAGAAGCAGCAGCAACAGCAGGACCGCAGCAAGTGCATGGGTTGAGGAGAGAGAGGCGCAGGAATGGGCGATTCAGGTGAGTGAAATGGCCATAAATGTGGCAGCGATAAGCGAGTCTGATGCGAGGCATATTTGTGGGCAGAGCGAGATGTGAATATCCTTCAGGGAAGGCGCATCGAGCTTTTTGAGCTCGAATCAAAGGCAACGTTGAAGGTGCTTTGGGTCTTTCAGTCGAGTCTAATTTTGGGGGAAGTGCTGAACACCTTTGAGGCGTTTTAAATATTCCTCCATTAGGATGGAAGTATTGATAAAGCAATCACATGTCTGCGCCTGCGATAAGGACTTCCACAACGAGTATCCAGGGAACTAATTCTTATCGCATAGCTTTATTCCGATTTTCGTTTACTTTTCGTGTAGAGGAAAATGAATAGTCGTATGGCTTCTAGGAATCCTAATAGTCTAAGGGAATGCGGGAATAGGAATATAGATGCCATATTTCCCTCCTTAGGGTATCGATGAAGCCATTTTTAGAAACTTCAAGGCTCCTTTTTAGGGGGGCGACGCAACCACGAGGCGACTATTCAATTTTAGACACATTTGACGTCTCGCTTAGACTTTTCTTGAGGCGTTGCAGTTGCGGCAGCGAGTGCCCTGGAAACTGGCGGCACGCATATGTGCCACATAACGGGGCAGCAGCAGGAGCAGGGGCTGTGGCCGGGAGGCACAAGTTTAAAGATAGCATCTGGGAGGGATTAGAAAGGAGGTGGTGCAGTCGGCCCATCCGCAGGCGAAGAAAGTTATGACAGGTTGGGGCTGCCTGCCAGAGGATTAGGTCCGACACTTCAGAGGCCCTTCGACTTAGAGGAAAGTAGAACGTTCCCAGAGGCAGACGCACAAAACAGAAGACGCGGAACAGTAAACGACATAATGCTGGGCATTGCCTGTGATCCGCTTGAGCACACGAGCATGTACGAGCGTGGCTCGGAGGGTATAAGAGCATATACGACATTATAAGTCCACTTCCACTGATTGACCTTCCCCCAATTTCCATTTACAGACAGCGAGGACAGCGATGGAGAGGGCGGCCTGGGCAATGTGTCCCGCGTGATTATCCGTCCGCCGGGGCAGAGCGGCAAGGCGAAGCGGGGCCATTTGTGCTTCGATGCGGCCTTCGAGACGGGGAATCTGGGCAAGGCCGAGCTGGTGGGGGAGTTCGAGTACGATCTGTTCCTGCGGCCGGACACGTGCAATCCGCGCTTCCGCTTTTGGTTCAACTTCACGGTGGACAACGTCAAGCAGGACCAGCGGGTGCTCTTCAACATCGTGAACCTCAGCAAGAGCCGCAATCTGTTCGCCTCCGGCCTCACGCCACTCGTCAAGAGCTCCAGTCGGCCCAAGTGGCAGCGGATGTCCAAGCGGCAGGTGTTCTTCTACCGGTCGGCCATGCACCAGGGCCACTACGTCCTCAGCTTTGCCTTCATCTTCGAGAAGGAGGAGGACGTCTACCAGTTCGCTCTGGCCTGGCCCTACAGCTACTCCCGCCTCCAGTCCTATTTGAATGTGATCGATGCACGGCAGGGCACAGACAAGCGCTTCACGCGATGCGTCCTCATCAAGTCGCTGGTGAGTGCAGTGGAGTCCTCTCTTGTTTCCTGTTTCCAGATTCCCGTCTCTAACCGTCTTTTTCCCGCAGCAAAACAGAAATGTGGATCTGCTGACCATCGATCAGGTGACGCATAAGCAGCGCTCCACCAATCGCTTGGATCGCAGCTTCATTCGTGTCATCGTGATCGTCTGTCGGACGCACTCCAGCGAGGCCCCCGCCTCCCACGTCTGCCAGGGCCTGATCGAGTTCCTCGTGGGCAACCATCCGGTAGCGGCGGTCCTGCGCGAGAACTTTGTGTTCAAGATCGTGCCGATGGCCAATCCGGATGGCGTGTTCCTGGGCAACAACCGCTGCAATCTGATGGGCCAGGACATGAACCGCAACTGGCATCTGGCCTCGGAGTTCACGCAGCCGGAGCTGCACGCCATCAGGGGGATGCTGAAGGAGCTGGATAATTCGGATGTGAGTGCGGGTTTGCAGTGGAAGTGGAATTGGATCTCAGATGGAGATGGACTCACCTGCTCCTCCCTTTGCAGACATATCAGATTGATTTCGTGATCGATCTGCATGCCAACAGCAGCATGCACGGCTGCTTCGTGTACGGGAACACGTACGAGGATGTCTACCGCTACGAGCGACACCTGGTCTTTCCGCGACTCTTCGCCAGCAATGCCCCCGACTATGTGGCCGAGCACACGATGTTCAATGCCGACGACCGAAAGGCGGGCAGCCTCAGGAGATTCAGCTGCGAGCGCCTCAGCGACACGGTAAACGCCTACACCCTGGAGGTGTCCATGGCGGGTCATTTTCTGCGCGACGGCAAGACGGTGGCCCTCTACAACGAGGATGGATGTGAGTACAGCCACTCCGCCAGATGTTCTCTATCTATATTCTTCCCTTGCCTCTTTCGTAGACTACCGCGTGGGTAGGAATCTCGCCCGCACCCTGCTCCAGTACTACCGCTTTATCAACATCCTGCCCGTGCCCCTCGTGCCGGAGGTGCGGGGCAAACGAAGGGGCCGCCTGCGCAACCAGCACTCCCGCTCACGTTCCAAGACGCGCTACGAGGTCAAGCCCCGACCCAAGACCCCGCGCTGTCACGCCCCCATATCGTACAACAATCTGAGCATCTGCTACGATTCCGGAGGAGGTGGAGGAGGATCCTCCGATGAAGGAGGCTTCTCCCCCGTCCGACCACTGGCACCCGGAAGCAGCAGCTTCAGCGGCTGCCGCAACTACCGGAGGGCGGCTACAGCCACTTGCCCTGCGGCCCACGATCAGTATTCCTCTTTTTCCTTGGGTGCACTCAAAACAGGAAGTGATCATGGAGGAGCCGTTGGCCAGGGCAAGAGATCGGCGAGGGTGACCATTGAGGTGCCGCTGCCCGTGAACGTACCCCCCAAGCCCTACCTCTCCATCATTGACCTCAATCAGCTGACGAGGGGCAGCCTGAAGCTCAAATCGAACAGTTTCGATGCAGCCGACAGGCGATAGAAAGAGAGTGAGTGAGTGAGAGAGAGAGAGAGAGAGTAAGTGGATAACTGTAATTGTTCCTTTTGTACGCTTTCCGCTTCGTTTTTTCTAAATAAACAGTTAATGTCTCCGAAAATTGAGCAACAAGTCAGGTGGGTCGGCGAATGAGTGGGAATGCCATTTGCTGGGCTTATCCGCTTATCTCTGTGCTGTTGCGCACTATTTGGCCCCCTGCCAGGAGGCGATTCGTCGGGAGGGGAATGACTCGACTCATTGCATTGCGAGATAGCACTCATCACTCGTATCAAGTCGAATCATGTCTAGGTGGATGTCTATTGCATATTTAAAGCGCCGTTAGATGTGACTACGAACAAATAAACAAAGAGCAGCCACTATGCAAACACACGAACACACACACACACAGTGTGAGAAATGAGTGGCAAGTGAGTCGAGTGTGTGCGACGCGACCTTCTACTCAACAACAGCACGTGAGTGCAGAGTGCGAGTGTAATATCAATTAGCTGGATGTCTGTCCCACTTTTATCTTATCTTATACACACATTTATATAGCAAATTATACCAATGCAGTCAGCGGCAGGCATCAGCTGTACCACCCATTACCTGGGAAAGGATCGGGGGCAGGCGACAGAAATCTCACTCAGCCACACTCGACTCGGAAAACACGCGCGAAAACCGCTGATAAGAGTGTGGCGAGCGTGCCAGCAGCAAGGCGGAATGTGAGTGGATCAGCAGGCAGGCAGCAACCGAAAGACCGAACCGAGTGTAAGGGCTTCCGACCTGATTAACGCATTCAATTAACATGAAATCAATAAAAAAAAGACAGACCGCACTCTTCTTTCTCGGTTCCTCTTTTGTATAAATAAAAGCGAATTGGAATAGAAGGCAAAATGGAGCGCAAAATAGAGTGAGGTGAGAGCGGCCAGCGTTGCCAGACTGCCAGAGTAAGATGCGAACAGCTGTTTGATGTGGCAGTGTATGGATGCAGTTATTTAAATTATTCAAAATAAATGTTTTTAAATGGTAAATAAAAAAATCAAAGCAAAGAGAACACCAGATCACGGGGAGGGTGGTGAAGGGCACAGTATGGGAGCAGGAACTGGTTTTTTGGTTAGCACGCAATTTCAAATTGGTTAAACAAACAAGCAACAGAAACGTCTGTACATATAAATGGAATATATTCTCACAACCTGGCTAACAGCATGTTGACGGGCACTGGGAAGGTAGACACAGACACAGTCACAGGAGGGAGAGGGAGAGGAGTGGAGAACACAAATGATTAAAACACAAAGCGGGAGGGAGGAGGGTAGATACACACACACACAAACATCAGAAACACGCAGTGGGAGAGACACTAATTAAATTATATATGGAACACAGAAATATGTAAATGGAAAGCCAAAAGCCGCTTTTACTTGTTCCGCTGCAGCAGCATGACGCAGTTCCTCTGAATATGGCTGCACTTCTTCGATATCTATATCTATGTCTTCTTTTCCTTCTGCTCTTGTTTTCGTTGTTTTATCTGAATTATTGATTGAAACTCTCGAGTTATTTTTACAGTTATTCTGACTCTTTCGCTGCGCGTGAGAACAGCAACTGCTACACACGGTGCAGCACAGAGAAATAAATAGAGAAGTACATACACACACACTGAACTTAGCTGAAGCAACTAGAGAGATAATTACTCTTTGGGGAGGACACGTTCGAAAATAAATTGCTCCGAAATGAGTTTCTAATCTGCCAGCTGTTGAGTGTTGCGCGGGGCGTTGCCAGACAGTCGTTCTGCGCGAATGAGCACATTTTGTGCACTCGATAAAAACACTCGACTGGCAAATTGGTAAGCGGGGAAAATTTTAAATGTGGAGCGTGCAAAATATTTTGTTTTAGCGTGAAATCGTGAAACCGAGATCATTGATATAAAGTGTTTTAAACTCTTTGGACATGTTGCTGGTGCTATTGTTTTATATCTGCGCATGTTCTGCCGATGAGGAAGCGGACTATAGTTTGGCTGTGGATTCCCTGGGGGAGCTGATACCGTTGGAACGCTACTATTACGGCAATTTGAGTGCATTTGCGGACAAAATGGAGGCAAAATTGATCACGATTCGACGGTAAACAAATATTTTTATGGAATAAAATTGACAATTAATTGATTAATATTCTTGTCAGGGCACTTTCCAAGATGCGCCCTGTCCTGGAGGCGGCCGAGGACAAGCAAGAGCGCTTTGTGGGAAATCCCCTGCACGCGTACTCCCTTCTGAGACACCTGCACCACGACTGGCCCAATTGGTTGGATTTTGTAGAGGAATCTGTTGGTGCAGAGGAGATTAAGCACTTCCGCTCTCTGGAACTGCTGCTCCCTAGCCGGGCGGACATAGCCAATGCTGCTTTTGGATTGGAGCAGATCCGGGATATGTATGGGCAGACTGAGCGGGATATGGCCATCGGACTGCTCGATGGACAGCAGCATAAGTGGGATACTGCTGCCGCGAAAGGATTCCGAACTGATTTTCCCCTTTTGCAGCGTCCAACTCACTGCCATGGATTGCTGGAGCCTGGGCAAACATTACTTCCACCTGAAGAGCTTTGTGCAGGCGAGTGTTTGGCTGGGATTGGCCGCGGATCGGTACAATGTCAGTGAGGAGGATATATATGCCGTCCAGGGCTTCCATCGCGTTGAGTTGTGGCAGCTGCAGGCGGGATCTCTGATGCGACAGAGTGGGATACCATTTTCCTCTTACATTTCTACGTTTCAAGAGATTACCTTTCGCAGGTCGCAACGATGATGCCTTGGCTGTCATTATCGGTGCCTTGGAAAAGCTGCCTTTCGACATGCGTCTGCTGAGCCTGCGTTCGAGGCTGGAAAACCGCTGGCTAGTGAGGCCCCGCCTGGACTACGAAGAGGATCCTCTGCCAGCAGTCACCGAAGTGCAGCGAGGATGTCGCGGCGAGTACCCATGGAAGTCGACGCTCCACTGTCGGTTCAGTTGGAGACCATCCTTCTATGCCCGACTTAAGGTTGAAGAGGTCCTGCTGGATCCCTACATTGTGCTCTACCACGACGTGGTGTCCGGTAAGGAGATGGAGCTGCTTAAAGACTACGGAAGGACGAATCTCACGCATGATCCCCTGAGAAGCGGGCTTTCGGCTAAGCACTGCGCTCTCCCCGAATCCCTTCCGCTGGTGCAGAGCCTCCACCAGCGACTTTGGGACATGACTGGATTGAGTTTAAACGGATCCGAGAGTTGGCTTATTACCAACTACGGGATTGGGGGCTTCCTTGGCCTCCACAAGGACTACTTCGATGAGGTTATCCTTACGTTATTCTTTTATAACCTTATAGATTTTCATTTTGTGATTGCGCTTTGCAGATCGAAGAGGAATTGCAAGGCGACAATCGCCTGTTCACCATCCAGATATTTGTAAGTTGAGAAGCAGGTCTTCATACAGGATAAGCTGACTCGTTATTCCCTTCTTTCCTTCTTCCCTTCAGCTGAGCAACGTCTCGCAGGGCGGCTACACAGTGTTCCCCAATCTGGAAGTGGCCGTGAAGCCCCAAGCAGGCACTGCTTTAGTCTTCTACAATCTGCTGGACTCGTTGGTGGGGGATACACGCACTAGACACTTTGGCTGCCCCGTCATTGATGGCGACAAGTGGATAGCCACGAAGTTCCTCTCTGCCAAGGAGCAGACCCTCAGGAGGAGGGGGCAATGAAAGTGTATTCTCTGTATTTTGCACGCATAAACGATGCATTTTTAGTGGCAGAGATAATTAAATTTGTCAGGGCATAATCATCCGTGTCAAATGGCTAAATCTGAAGGCCACTTGTGGCATTTCTTGAAAATCATTTCCTCATTATGGCTGCGCTACGGTACACGTTGTTGCTCTTGTGCCTGGCTTGCCCCTTTCTCGAGGCGGTTCTTGACGAGAAACGCTTCCAGGGAATGCTAACTCTAGAGCGGGAACTGATTCAGAATCTGCGAGACTATGCCCTGGAGCTGACGGGGAAGATCAGCCTCATCAATGGGTGAGTCTGAAAGAGGGTCCTTTCCCTTCTGATCGATACCTCTTCGTCCTCCATAGCGCTCTGAGGGAGTACAACGAAGAGATCGAAGAGGCTAACGAGGATCCGGAGCTGTATCTGTCGAATCCGCTGAATGCCTTCCGGCTGATACGGCACATGCACCAGGATTGGGTCAGCTGGCAAGTATACATGGAGGAGCAAGTAGGGCCTGACCAGGTGGCGAAGCTGGAACGCATCCTGCCGCAGCTGCCCCAGCGGCAGGACTTCCAGGCGGCGGCCCAAACAGTGCAGAGCCTGGCCGAGTTTTACGCATACGAACCTTCCTTCCTGGTGGCCCAAAAGGAGTTCTACAGGTGAGAAAGGAAAGCTTCTCCTGGGTAAACCCCCTCCTTACCTCCTGGTTTCGTTTAGCAACCTTTATCTTTCCCCTTTGGACTGCTACCACATGGGTTTGGAGATATACAAGAAGGAGAACTACCATGAGGCCATCAAATGGTTCACCGTAGCAGCCGAGAACTACACCGCGTCGCCGTACAGCGATCTCTACAGCGTGCTGGGTACGTCTCGCTCTGAGGCGTATCGAATGCAGGCCAGGACCTACGACAAACTCAGTGGGTGATGGTCACAGATCCAAAGATCTCCGCGTAAATTTTGGTTCTCTTGCAGACCGAGAGGAGGTGTTCCTGGCCTACCAGAATGCCGTAATACTTGATGAATACAACGTGCACCTGCTGCAGGAGTCCGGTGTCCAAGAGCTGCGCAGCCTGCGCGAGCCCGAGCCCATGAAACCCATCGTGGCGCCCGTGACTACACCCAGTCCCCTGCAGCGCCAGTGTCAGGAAAGCTTCGACGCGCACTTCGCCGTTTGTGCGTACAATTCGATATTGTCGCCCTTCCTGTGGCTGGCCCCGCTACGCTACGAGGAGGTGCTCTCCTCTCCCTACATTGTAATCTACAGGGATGCCTTCTACGAGACAGAGGTCGCACATATCCGAGACGCCCTCAAGCGGTGTCCACTGGAAGCTATGATCCATATGGATGGCGGTATAGAAGGCTGTTCTGTCCCGGATGAATACAGTCCGGTGATGAAGCGCCTGGAGCAGCGGGTGCAGGACATGACGGGTTACTTCAAGCCCGCAGATAACTTCCATGTGCTAGAGTACGCCCAGCAAGAGCCCTTCCGTCTGTTCCAGCTGTTCAAGGACTCCTCCAAAGTAATCGGATGATCCTTTTAGGTTTCTTTGTCTCTCTTTCCTTTATGTATGATTTCATTGCAGTTTTCCGACCTGGACTTTAACGAAATCGAGGGAACTGCTATCTTCTTTGTAGGTTTTAAGGAAATTTCTGCCTACCTCACTGATTCCCATTTCTTTCCAGCTGAATGATGTAGAGGTTGGCGGAGCTATCACTATACCACACTATCCAATGTCAGTGCATCCGCGGCAGGGCGACGTTTTGATCACATTCCACGAAGGCGACTTTGAGCACACCGTCTGCCCCAATGTGGTGGGCAGTGGATTGGGTATAGCTTTGGCAGTCCTTCTCCAGTTGAGGCCTCTCATCAATGATCGATAATCTTCTCTTTTTGCAGTCTTGTTAAAGTTTCTGTACGTGGACCCGGAAGACTGAGCGAAGCGGTCCTCCCATTCTTCCCCATTCGATGCGGTGTGGAGCCGAGCAATAATCAATCGCAGCACTTTACGCCCATCAATAAAGCTGTACTTTGCACAAGACAAAAATTAGTAATTTTTAGGCCTGATCTACTTGGTTGAGTTGATCACCTGACACCGTAGTTACAAAGAGGTTGAAGATATTTCAAGTCAAAGACTCAATTTTAAATTTAACTTAAGATAAATTTTTTTCATATTATTTTTAAATAGCATTCCTTCTTAGTCTTTATTAATTACGCACAGAAAAATTCGTCATTTGAAAAGTTGTACGTTTTTTTTTACCATTCTTAATATTTCTTCTTGAGCATTTTTTTTTTTAAATTTTGTTGTTCTCTTCTTTACAATGTAGCCTAGCGTGACAAATTTAATTTTGAACAATTCTTATATGAGATAATTGCCTTATAATTTGTATTGACTGTTTGACATTTGTCTCGCTTTAAAGCATCCATACCGTCGATAACTGTTTTGTTTCGGGCTCAAATTTATATATATCTCATCCGTAACATGTATAGATGGTATATACAGTTTTTAAAGCACCACGGTCGTACTTTTATATTATTTTTTTTCACCAATCGACACGAGCCTCTTTTTGCAAGATTTTTAAATTATTTGGGATCCTACGCGAACAATATTTTGTGGCATAACAGCTGCTTTTGGATAACATTCGCGAAATTCAGTCTTTTACCGGTTTGTCACAATCAAAGTTGAACTAAGCTGATCTAAGTATTCTTTGCTTAAAAATACACATTACATATTATAGAAAATCATCGTCGACCATTGGGTCCTATTAGGGCTAAAAGCGACCTAGGCCAGAAACTTAAATAGCAACCCTAGTATTTTTCTCGCAAGCATCTGTGTTCCCGTCACACTATAATATCATTGAAAGCGGCGAAAATACCAGGATAAGGAATCGTTTCTCAGATACAAGACTATAATGCTACCACTCGCATCTATGCAAGTGTTCCTCCAGGCTCTCCTGATGCTCGCGAGTGCTGCTGTTCAGAGTCAGAGTCAGAGTAAGACAAAAGGGGAAACGAGCTACAATCCACCCAAGGAGTTTGTGACCTCAATGGCAGACCGAATGGAGCTGCTCCTGCTGGACAGGCAGCTCATCTCAAACCTCGTGCAATATGCTGAAGAGTTGCAGAAAAAAGTCGACGTTCTGCGGAGGTGAGACTCGAGATAACAAGACCCGACCCTCTGAAAACGGTTTTAATCGCTTGGGTGGGGTTGGGTGCCGACACAGATTTGCGAAGGCGATGCGCATACCCCTTAAGGGAGCGAAGGGCAGGGAGGAGGAGTACCTATCGAATCCGCTGCACAGTTTCCCACTCATCCGACACATGCACGAGGACTGGCGGCATTTAGAGAAGTTCATGCGGCAGCCTGTGGGGCAGGGTAAGTGGCCATTTACGAAAGAATAATGGATATAATCGCCAGGCTTTCCATTCAGATCAGATTAATTTCCTCAAAAACAAGGCAACGAAATTTCCTTCAGTAGAAGAGACCGAGGATGCCACGGAGGCTATTTATCGGATTATTCGTACCTATGATGTGGGGCCAGGGGATCTCGTCCACGGGATAATCGAAGGTGTGCACTACAAGTAGGTGTTCAGCAGGATTTCTCTACTTCAGCCATACATTCAATGTTCCTCCTCCAGCAGTAGCATTTCAGTCATCGATTGCTTCTCTCTTGGGAAACTGCTTTTCCATTGGGGGGAGTACGGAAGAGCTGCACAATTTCTGGCCTACTCCTTGGATCTGGTAAGACCAGAGCATTATTCGGTCCTCCATGTGCTGGGATTGACCTCAAGTGAGGTCTTCATGCTACTGGCCCGCTGTTTCGTGGAGCTGGGTGAGTGATTATGATCCGACTTTCCCCAGCTTAAAATCAATTTCTCATTAATTTTCAGACCAGGAAGCGGACGCTCGAACGACACTTATGGGCCACCCTGATCTGGCGGAGCACTCGAAGCGTCTGCTCAACTTCTACACTAGCACGAGACACGTCCCAGTTTCGGAGGAAATGAAGCCCATTCTGGACGAGGAATTCAATCAGATCTGCCGCTCCTCGCACCAAAATAAACCCTCGCGCCTTCACTGTCGCTACAATGCCACAACCACACCCTTCCTGCGATTGGCCCCGCTACGGATGGAGGAGCTGTCGCTGGATCCATATATCGTCGTCTACCATAATGTCCTCTCCGACGCGGAAATAGCCAAAGTGGAGCGCGTTGCAGAGCCGCTTCTGAAAAGCATTGGCGTGGGGGAGATGGACAACAGTAAAAAGAGCAAGGTGCGCACCGCCCTGGGAGCTTGGATCCCCGACGAAAATATGCATATCTCCGGCTGGCCGGTGATACAACGTATCGTCAGACGCATACACGACATGACCGGACTGATTATAAAGCGCGGCCAGGTTGTGCAGCTGATAAAATACGGCTACGGAGGCCACTACGACACCCATTTCGACTACCTTAATGACTCCCTTCCGATCACCCAGGCCTTAGGTGACCGCATGGCCACTGTCCTTTTCTACGTGAGTCGGTTTCAAGCTTCTTTTTAAGCTCTTACTAACCGATGGATTCTCTGTTTATCACCCGAAGCTTAACGATGTAAAACACGGCGGCTCAACTGTCTTTCCGGTACTACAACTGAAGGTCCCCTCGGAGCGGGGCAAGGTCCTCGTCTGGTACAACATGCACGGGGAGACGCACGATCTGGACAGTCGAACCCTTCATGGTTCTTGCCCCGTCATCGATGGCGCCAAAACGGGTGAGTATTTCTTGTGGGTTTTCATTTCTCCAGCTACAATTTATTTCCCCTTTTGCAGTCCTGTCCTGCTGGATACACGAGTGGGATCAAATGTTTATCCAGCCCACCTATCATCCAGGGAATAGATCGTTTATCACTTAGATTATGGGGCAATTGTAAGGCTAAGGCTTAGAAGAGATCATATAAAAGAGATCGATGCGGGTGAAAGAAGCGAGTGTGCCGGGGTTTGGCGCAAGGGGCTAGCCCCCAAGTATATAACAACAACAATTTTCAAAAGTAAAGCCGAGCCAAGTTATATCATTTCCACCAACTGATTTTGATGGAGTAATTTTTATTTTATAGATTGATTAATTAATAATGCAACAACAAAATATGCGGTCTCTAGAGCACGTATTTATGTACTTATAAGTAAATTGTTTTTTTTTTCGAAACATTTGGTTGTATTTGTCATGAAGAAGAATACGAGGTATGGTAAAAATGTGATAGGGTCTCAGCACTCGACTACACCAGTAGCCAAGCGACTTATCATTATAACTAATGACGCTCTGCAGCAAAATCAGGGAAGAATGCGGTGTTAGTGCCAGTTTTGTAACGGTGAAACGCCGTATTCGGAGAGCCAAGCATTTTAACTGTAAGTTCGTCCGCCTTGATCTCAGAGGCTATAGGAGATAGGGACCCCAAAAGACCAGGCACGAACATCACTGTAAGTAAATATGAGAGCGACACGAGGCTTGTCGATCGGCCGAAAGTCGATCTACATACTTTTTAAGTGACCGTTTATTTCGACTTATTTCAGTGTGGCGGTACAGTTAGGGACTAATTAGGTACAGTTAGGAACACCACACAACTCTTGATTCTTTTTTATTGCCTGATACAAAAATAGACCTGTATCGTAAATCTTCTCACATTATATAACTTAATAAATAAACGCCCTATTCCCTGGGCGATAAGTGGGTTGGGTAAACATTTGATCTAGCTCGTGTATCCAGCAGGACAGGACTGCAAAAGAGGGGATACATTTCAGCTTTATAAATGCGAAGGGAAATACTCACCCGTTTTGGCGCCATCGACAGTGGAGCCGCCGTGCTTCGCATCGTTCAGCAACACCTTCAGTTATTCAGAGCTCAAAAAGAAAGTGAAACCAACTCACGTAGAATAGGACAGTGGCTATGCGATCGCCCATAGCGTGGATGCTCGGAATGGAGGCGTTAAAGTAGTCGAAGTGGATATCGTAGTGGCCCCCGTAGCCGTATTTTATCAGCTGCATGGTCTGATGATCGTTAATGATCAACCCGGTCATGTCGTGTATGCGCCTGAAGATACGTTGTATCACTGGCCAGCCCGAGACCTCCATATTATAGTCGGGGAGCCAGGCTCCCAGGGCTGTGCGCTTCTTGCTGGTGGACATCTTATTTTCCTTTCCATCAAACACGACACTGCGTTTCAGAAGCGGCTCAGTAACTCTCTCCACTTCGGCTATTTCCGCGTCGGAGAGGACATTATGGTAGACCACGATATAAGGATCCAGCGACAGCTCCTCCATCCGTAGCGGGGCCAGGCGCAGGAAGGGTGTGGTTGTGGTATTGTAGCGACAGTGCAGACGCGAGGGTTTATTTTGGTGCGAGGAGCGGCAGATCTGATTGAATTCCTCGGGAAGAAAGGGCATCAGTTCCCACGAAACAGGGACGTGTCTCGTGTTTCTGTAGAGGGTGAGCAGACGCTCCGAGTGCTCCGCCAGAGCTGGGTGGGCCATCAGTGTAGTTCGTGCTGGAGTTATACTTGTACTGCACGCCATCGATTAGCCCCTGGACGAGATCCGCTGGCTCCACATTATAGGTGAGGATAATACGATAAATAGCCTCCGTGGCTTCCTCAGTCTCTTCTATTGAAGGAAATTTCGTTGCCTTGTTTTTAAGGAAATTAATCTGATCTGAATGGAAAGCGTGGCGATTATATCCATTATTCTTTCGAAGATTTACACTCACCCTGCCCCACAGGCTGCCGCATGAACTTCTCTAAATGCCGCCAGTCCTCGTGCATGTGTCGGATGAGTTGGAAACTGTGCAGCGGATTCGATAGGTACTCCTCCTTGCCCTTCGAAGTCTCGAGGGGTATCCGCATCGCCTTTGCACATCTGTGAGAGCACCCAACCCCACCCAAGCGATTAACACGGGGGTTGGATCCCGTTATCTCGAGTCTCACCTCTGCAGCACGTCGACTTTTTCCTGCAACTTTTCAGCATATAGCACGAGGTTTGAGATCAGCTCCCTGTCCAGCAGGAGCAGCTCCATTCGGTCTGCCATTGAGGTCATAAACTCCTTGGGTGGATAGGAGCTCGTTTCGGTGCTCTGACCAATAGCACTCGTAAGGAATCTGAGGATCAGGAGTGGCAGCATTATAGTGTTGGATGTGATAAGTTACAAATAGTCATCAAAAGCACAACATATCATCTGAAAAGCAGAAAATACCTTTTATTTTGTGCTATTTCGTTTTTTTAAAAAGTGAAGGTCGACTTGAACGTATCGTTTGAATGGAAATAATAAGGTGTTTAATTAGTGGGCATCGAATGCTTTGAAAAAAAGCACACGGCACAAATTGTGTTTTTTTTATTCTAAATTTAAAGCTAGAGAATTTTTACTTTGCACGAATATTATTAAAAGTAAAGATGATACTGTTAATTAAAATTTATTTTATAATCAATTCTTTGAACATTCATTTGAAAAATAGCTAACTTTTTAGATCCACATGTAAGACTCGATTTCGTTGCTCTTGAGTAAGAAAAGTGGTCACATCCATGTGTCTTATCTTATTCAGATGGATTCTAATTAGATAAATAGATAGATCGTATGTGTTTTAGATCCATTTTACTTGATTAAAAGCTAATGTATTTCGCTTAATCCTCAATAGTATGCTAGAAATGATATATTTTACAGAATTTTGAAGAATTTTTTTCATACAAAATATATTGTAACAGAAATAATTTGATTTTCAGTAAATACTATTCGAATCATCAGAATTTCCCAAGTTAGGGCAGGTTTCGGATGCTAATCGTTTAAACAAGAATCAAACTATAGAAACCACAACAAAGTATCGCAACCTCTTCCTAAGAAATGCATCCTTCAGGCTACGACACGAATTTAATGCCATTCCTTTATGTTCTCTGAGTGCCTATTCCCTGGCCGATACGTGCGCTGGATAAACATTTGATCCAGCTCATTTATGAAGCAGGACAGGACTGCAAAAGGGGAGATACATTTAAGTTGGAGAAATAAAAACCTACAAGAAATACTCACTCTTTTTGGTGCCATCAATGACGGGGCAAGAACCGTGAACGGTTCGTCTGTCCAGATCATGCGTCTCCCCCCGCATATTGTACCAGAAGAGGACCTTGCCCCGCTCCGAGGGGACCTTAAGCTGTAGATCGGTAAAGGCAGTGGAGCCGCCGTGTTTCACGTCGTTTAGCTTTAAAGGACAGAGCGATAATCCTTTAGTTAGTGGGTGACCAAAAAAAGCTTCGAACCGACTCACGTAGAAGAGGACAGTGGCCATGCGGTCGCCCATAGCGTGGGTGCTCGGATAAGAAGCGTTGAGGAAATCGTAGTGTTGATCGCAGTGGCCCCCTAATCCGTATTTAATCATCATCAGATGCACGTTCATGAACAGCCCGGTCATATCGCGTATGTGTCTGTGGACACGTTCGATCACCGGAGCGCCCGAGACATGCATATAATTATCGATATGGGGGCCTGTAAAGCCCGTGCGCCTCTTGCTGGGGGTCATCGAATTTGGCATTTCATCATACCTGCCAATGCGTTTCAGTAACGGCTCTATCACGCGCTCCACTTCGGCTATTTCCGCGTCGGAGAGGACATTATGGTAGACGGCGATATATGGATCCAGCGACAGCTCCTCCATCCGTAGTGGGGCCAGGCGCAGGAAGGGTGTGGTTGTGGCATTGTAGCGACAGTGCAGGCGCGAGGGTTTATTTTGGTGCGAAGAGCGGCAGATCTGAATGAATTCCAGGGGCAGAAAGGGCTTCTCTTCCCACGAGGCTGGGACGTGTCTCGTGTGTGTGTAGAAGTTGAGCAGACGGTCCGAGTGCTCCGCCAGATCACGGTGGCCCATAAGTATCCTTCGAGCATCCTCTACCATGTCTGGAAATAAATGTGAAATAGATTTTAAGCAGAGGAATGTTGGATCATGATCACTCACCCAGTTCTACCGAGCATCGGGCCAGGAGCATGATGACCTCGCTTGACTCAAATTCCAGCACATGGTTGACGGAATAATATTCTGGTTTTACCAGGTCCAAGGAGTATTGTAGAAATAGGGCTGCATTTTCGTACTCCCCAAAGTGGAAGAACAGAGTTCCAAGAGAGAAGCAATCGATGGCTGAAATGCTACTGCTGCAGGAGGATTATGGAATAACCGGCTAAAGCAGAGTAATCTTGCTGGAGACCTACTTGTACTGTACGCCATCGATTAGCCCCTGGACGAGATGCGCTGGCTCCACATTATAGGTGAGGATAATCCGATAAATAGCCTCCGTGGCTTCCTCAGTCCCTTCTACTGAAGGAAATTTCGTTGCCTTGTTTTTAAGGAAATTAATCTGATCTGAATGGAAAGCGTGGCGATTATATCCATTATTCTTTCGTAGATTTGCACTCACCCTGCCCCACAGGCTGCCGCATGAACTTCTCTAAATGGCGCCAGTCCTCGTGCATGTGTCGGATGAGTTGGAAACTGTGCAGCGGATTCGATAGGTACTCCTCCTCCCTGCCCTTCGAATCCTCCAGAGGTATTTGCATCGCCTTTGCACATCTGTGGGAGCGCCCAACACCACCCAAATGATTGAAACGGTTCTCAGTAGTTATCTCGAGTCTCACCTCTGCAGCACGTCGACTTTTTCCTGCAACTCTTCAGCATATTGCACGAGGTTTGAGATCAGCTCCCTGTCCAGCAGCAGCAGCTCCATTCGATCAGCCATTGAGGTCATAAACTCCTTGGGTGGATTGGAGCTCGTTTCGGTGCTCGTCTGACTCTGACTCTGACCAGCAGCACTCGTGAGGATTAGGAGGACCAGGAGTGGCAGCATTGTAGTGTTGGATGTGATAAGTTACAAACCGTCATCAAAAGCACAAAATATCATCTGAAAAACAGAAAGGGGTTGATATTATTTGTATTCCGCAGTTTTCTTAAGTGGTACTAATATATGTATGTACATATGTATCTCGGGACCAAGTATTTTTCTCAGGGTATTCTTTCGTTGCCTTCTTTACAATTTACCGTTTGTTATTATCCACTGTCTGTCCCATTTCTGTGTAGGTGTTAGTGAGAGAGTGCGCAGGAGAGAGACGACTCGCTCAGAGAGGCTCAAAGGGGACAAAATGAAGCAAGCGCGCGTTGAGCGTGTTCCTCTGCAGCAGTGTGTATGGGTTAGAAAGGGAAAGAGCGACTTTCGATGATTGTCTTAGAGGAATAGTTTGGCACTTCTCAGAGAGCAATATTCGCTGTTTGAAGATTGCAATGGAAACTGATGTGAATTATAATAGAGTTTTTTCGGTACCTATAAATTTGACTTGGAACTTGGTACACTAGAATTCTAGAAAGTCTCACAAGGAACTGTTTTATTCTTCATAAGCTGTTGATCGTTGCACCTCGGCTGCGGAGCTTAAAGCTTCTTTCGGCTTCGGCTTCGACTTCGGCTTAAAGCGTCCGCGTCGTTGACTTTTTGAGAGCGGCTGATAAGCGATCGGCACGTTGGCCTACGTGTGGGAGACGGTGGGACTGCATAAAAGGCGCGACTGCAGCTGGCGATCGGTGTCGGATTGCTTCTGGAGAACGCACTTGTTCGTGTTGATTAGTATAGGGCTCTGTATTGCATTGAGACTTCCTGTTTGTTTATGCAGGTAATCGATTTAAAAATGTGTTTGTTGCGTTCCTGTCATACTCCTCTTTATTACATTCCCCGTAAATCAGTGGCATCACAATTCAGTGCTTATCAAGCGTACTTCCAGCTGTGGTGTGCTACAGCTACATTTTTACATCACTTTTTGACCGCAACGAATGCCCGATGACATGCTATTTATGCATCGATTTTCCATCACCCACTCGCTGGCAAAGCGATACTCACGAAAGATGACTCCCATAATGCGGATGCTGGCACTTGGACTCGGCCTGGCCTCCGTGGCTGAGGGCTGGCACGATGAGACTGTGAAAGACCACACCCACCGCAAGAACTATGTCGTCTCGGAGCAGAGCAGACTGCAGCTTGTGGAGCAGGACCTCGAGCTGGCGGCGAATCTCAACGCATACGCGGAGCAGCTGCAGAAGAAGATCAGTGTGCTGAGGAGGTGAGTTCAGGGGGAGAGTTTCATATGGGACCAGTCTTAGATATAATCTGTGGTCTTAGAGTGGCTGAGAATTGGCGGCGGGCTTTGGACGAGGCAAAGGGCAGGGAGGAGGAGTACCTATCGAATCCGCTGCACAGTTTCCCGCTCATCCGCACGTTGCACGAGGACTGGGGCCCCGTGGAGAGGCTCATGCAGCAGCTCGTGGGGCAAGAGCAGATCGCTGCGTTGGAGCTGATGCGGGAGCATCTTCCTGGGGCGGAAGATGTGGCAGAGGCCATGTGGGGAATTTTCCGCATTGTCCACACGCATAATCTCGAACCGAAGGATGTGGCCGAGGGAGTCCTGGATGGCATCCAGTACAGGTGGGTACCGCTGAGAGATCCTGGATGCAGATTGTTGATATTCCTCGCTCTTAAAGGGGTCGGCTCTCTGCTTTGGACTGCCAGGCGCTGGGGAAGTTCTACTTCCACGTAGCCGACTACCAGACAGCCATCAAGTGGCTGACCCTGTCCCAAGATCTGATGGAGGAGCAACCTCTGGAGTACTACGATGAGCTGGGGGCCACGAGCAGTGGCATTACCCTTCTGCTTTCCCGCTGCCTGGTGGCCTTAGACAGGTTCGACGAGGCAAAGATTCTTCTGGGGGGGGACAAGACGTTCGGAGACAAGGCGTACCACATCGTGTCGCACTTCCAGAAGCATCCACCGCAGCAATCCATCAACATGGAGAACGGGAACTTCACGGAGAAATTCAACCGCCTTTGCAGTTCCATGAGCAGACGGAAGACGGACGGATCCGCAGCCCACTCGAAGCCTGCGCGCCTGCATTGTCGCTACAATGCCACAACCACAGCCTTCCTGCGACTGGCCCCCTTACGGATGGAGGAGCTCTCCTTGGACCCCTACATCGTGCTGTACCACAGTGTCCTGAGCGACGAAGAGATGGCCAGGCTGGAAAACATGAGCACCCCTCTGCTGCACCGCGCGCGCGTCTTCGACAGCGGGATAAGAAAGCCGAAAATCTCACCCGCCCGCACTGCCGATGAAGTCCAGATCCCGAACCCCAAGCTGGTGGCAGAGGATATACAGCTGGTGGAGTGCATTCAGAAACGAATAACGGATCTCACGGGCCTCATGCTAACGAGCATGAGACGTATTCAATTCCTGAAGTACGGCTTTGGCGGGATCTACGTGCCCCACCACGACTTCTTCAGCGTGCACACACCGACCTCACGTCTCCATGGTGATCGCATTGCCACCGTGATCTTCTACGTGGGTACTCCCAGTGGAATCCAAAGAATTTCGACTCATTTCTATAGATTCTGTTTGCACAGCTGAACGATGTGGAGCATGGGGGGGCCACTGCCTTCCCCAATTTGGATCTGGTGGTGCCCACGGAGCGGGGCGCAGTCCTCTTCTGGCACAACATGGATGGCGAGACATACGACCTTGACTATCGCACCCTCCACGGCGCCTGTCCCGTTATCGTTGGCACTAAAATGGGTGAGTCGGGAGGATGTATCTGTATACTCGCGTAGATAGTATGCCTATATATATCTATTACTCTTTCCGTACAGTGATGACGCGCTGGATATACGAGTGGGATCAGATGTTTGTCAAGTCCACCTACTATCCACCTCGGCAGAAGGACTACAGGCAATTTAATTGAGACTTCCGCTGTTAAATAGCTCCTAAGAGTCGAAGGCTTTCCTGTATTTGGGTCACATGATTGTATCATCTTTAACGAACATTGCCACAGTGATTACTGATAGGTTTTGTCACATGAAGCGATCCAATTGATACTTGTTTTAATACTTTCAACAAAGATATAAGCAGTATGACACATGTGCTGGATTCACAATCATTTGGGAAGAACCGTTGAGGAGAAGATCAATAGAGAGTATATCCCACCAGAAAATGCACACTTCCATATCTATCAAAAATCATATCATATAAATCGTTAAATTATCTCCAAGTGCAAAAGTAGTCCCCAGTCTCAAAATTTTGGTATGAAAATGTGAATAGCTAAACCAAAATTGTTTCCATTCCCCATTCCATTACTGCAGAGTGCAATCCTAGAGAACACTTCAAGCAGATTACCTACTCATCTGTAGCATTCCATTTCTCCGCTCTGGAACGGAGGGTGGGTTATCCTTCGTACCTTGACCTTCGACTCGCTGTTGGATTCGCTTTCTTCTCTGGCACTGGCTCTGGCTTTGGCTCTGGCTCTGGCACTCGGCTCATTGCACCATTAAGTGGCAATTAAATTCAATTAGCCGCAGTACTCTCCGGCATCGGCATCCCTCCCTATCTGCTCCCCATTTATCACGCCTGGCTGTCCCTGCATCCTCCTCATCCTTTACGTAATATTCCTTTGCAACTTTTGCACTTCGCTTTCGATTGGTGCTGCTAATAATTTCTCAGATTTATCGTCTTCCTATCCGCCACTCTAGTTCCTGTTTGTTTGCCGAAAGTTTCCTGGGGTTTTCTTGGTTTTCCGACTTGGCTTTCAATTAAGATTGATGGCGTGCACTTTTCCCTGGGTTTTCCTTCGCCCACTCTCTAGGCAGGCCACGTCTTAAAGTATCTGAGAGTAAGGAATGCATTTGTCTTGATTCCACCTTTTGAGCCAACAGATGCAGATACAGATTGGAGCAGACCTTTCCATCTCGCAGACAACATATGTCTGCACTCTCTCCCTGTCTCTCTCTCCCTCTGACTCTCTCTAGTTGTTGGCCAAAGGTAACAGTGGCAATTTATCAAAATTTGCGCACACAAAGAGGCTGAGGAAGCAGAGGCTGAAGCTGAAGCTGAGTGATGGGGCAGGACATGGAGAGATGTGGCTACAATTGGCATATGCGTGTGTGTCTAGGTAGAGAGGATGCCTCTCACTCTGCCCACTCCCACTCTCTCTCTCTCTCTTTGTCTCTGTACTTGACTTAAATTGCTTTTTTCAATGCCAACGGCTGCTGCTGCTGCTGTTGCTGTTGTCCTCCTGTCACATGCGGAGCCAAATGTCATTTCAGCAAAATCCCTCAAGTCGTTCGTCTGCCCTTGTCTGTCGTATTCGAGTATCTGTGTGCGTTGTACCTCCGTGTGCGCTGTGTCTGTGTATGCGTAAGAAAACATTGTGCAAAATATGTTGGGGCAACAACAAGAGAAACAGCAGAAACAACATTTTTCTGCGGCTGCTTAAATTGCATTGGGAAATAGGTTGGGGATCCACTGGCACAGCCACTGCCAAGACAATAAACAGTTGTTGCCACTGCCTCTGCCGCTGCTCGTGCAACACTCTTGAGTGTGTGGCTGTTGACTGCTGAAAGGTGCATTTGTTTCGGCCTCAGCGATGGGTATTCCATCTGGGGATTTCCCTTTGAAATATCGTTTGTCAACTCTGATTCTGGTTCTGAAATGGCTCTAATTGGGCGACTCTCCATAAACAGTTGAGTACTCTCCATCTAATCCTATCAGCCTTATCCCACAATCTCTTTATCCTTGGTCCTGTTGCTCCGTTCTCTCTAATAAAATTAAAATGCCAACCATTTTCACTCTGAGGGCTCCTGAAATGCGATAGCCCCTCCTCCGACTCCTCTGCTGTTAAAAAATTAGCAACAATTTTTCAGCATCGCATCAAAATGTGCCCTGCCCTGCCCTGCTCTGCCCAGCCATGCCACTGCCACTGCCAAACGCACCGCATCGTGAGGCAAAGCCACCCTCAGTCTCAGTCCTTGCCCCCGCTCCGTGGCACTTATCAAGAAGCTGACTTACTTTGCGCTACACCTTGTGGCACTTCCCATTCCCACTCTCCCCCTCTGCTATGCCACACGCACTTTGTCATCTCCCTGGGCCCCGCCTGGCTCTGGTTCTGTCTCCGGTTGAGACTCTGCTTCTATTCTCCTCCATCCATCCAGCTCCATCCTGCTCCATCGTGGCCCATCCTGCATCCTTCGTGGTAATTTGATATGCCGTCTCGTGGCTTACATTTTTTATCCGCCATTACCGCAAAACGATTTACTTCCGCGTCGCAATTTGCTTTAAATTTTTATTTAAACAACAATTTGTTCAGATTTCGAGCAGATTGAGATTTCCGCTGAAAGATGTGCCACAGAGAGATTTGATTTGATTGTGGGGCAGGACACAGGAGCGGGGGTGGGGCAATGCCATCCATATTGTCAACTCAATGATGCACCTTCAGCCACAGGGCTGCCAAGGATGTGGCTGCAACGGACACTCGACAAATTAATTTGCTGCAGACTCTGCAGCTGCCTCGAAATGTTGGGTGTGGTCTCCAGTCCAGTCCTTGCCTCTTGATGGCTGTCCTTGATGCTGGCTTAGTACTGGGCAGAGAGGGTCAGCCAGAATAAAAGCAGTCCTCTCGATCTAAGAAATACTGTTCTTTTTTTCTTTGGATGTGTATGTCGGTCTACATGAGCATCTGGATGTTCAGGACTTCAAAATGTTTATCAGTATTTATTTAGCTTCGTTTTTGTTTCTGCTACACCTCACCCTACGGCCAACCGACCGAGAGGCGCTGCTGCTTGACGCGTGACATGTGCTACCGAACCGTGCAATTAAATTAATTACTTTACAAGCGCTACAAGTTTATTAATACTATTTATATATATTTATATTTACTATTCTTACATTTTATTATATATTTTAAAATTGACATACAGTACATGCTGGAAAACTAAGGCTCCTCTTCTCTCTCTCTCTCTCTCCTTTTTCTCTCTGAATGTTTTCAGAATACTTTGCGTGAAGTCTCTTGACTTATTTGCCCCTGACTTATTGCAGGGTATCTTTTACTTCCATTAGTTCGCCCTTTGCCTGCCTTCCTTTTCTTTTTTGCTGTTTTTCTTTTTCTTGAGCTCAAATTGGTTTCGTGTTCATTTTCATTTGCGCTTTTCCGCGTCCACGCCCACCTCAGGGCGCGATTTAGTCAAGAACCTCCCATCCATGGAATCCACTCCTCCTTTGGCTTTCCTTTGTCCTTCGCCCACTCCACTGTTGCTCCTGCATTTTTTCTGCGGTTTTTAATTTGATTTCTTGCACCTTTTCTAATTGGCAATTGGAGCCGCTTGGATGTCGCTGACAGCAGCGGCAGCTTTTGCCACTGCAACAGCATTTTCCTCTCGCCCCAAAATTTAAAGGCTTTAAATTATCCTGGAACAGGGGGAGAGATGGATTCGCCCCTCGACTGGTCCGACTCCTGGCGTTAATGGCTCTTTTATGGCCGCCGCTGTGCGGTCCCCCCGTTGCTGCTGCTGCCGCTGTGGCAGCTGCAAATATTTTGCCACTCCGCGGCAGGGCAGTCAGGGATTGGAGATGGGGTCTTGTTTCAGCAAAAATCTAATCTATGCAAGCCCCGCCATGTCCCCTCGCTCCCGCTCCACGCTCCACGCAGTGTGGCAACTATTTTTTTTGCCGCTTGCAACGTTTTTTGCTGCTGCTGCCGTTGGGAAGCTTAACAGTTAATTGCCCCTTGAAGAATACCGCGCCACGGACTCCACAGCTACGGGAGCTCTACAGATCCACAGATCCGTAGTCCGTAGTCGATTCCCGTACCACGACACGTGGACACACGACACAAAAGCCCCGCCCCGGACACTGGCGTCCCATTTCCCTGTCCTGTCTTCTCGTATCCGTGGCCGTATCCGTGTCCGTGTCCGTGCGTGTGTTTTAATCGGTTTGACTTTGTTGCCTGACCTGCCTGCTAGGGGAGGGGTGTAGGGGCATGCAACAGCAAGGACAAACAACCAGTGTTGCCAGTGTGTGGCCCTGGCCCTGGCCCTGCAGCAGATTGAATCCTAATCGAGAGGATTTGACTTTGGTTACGTTGCGTAAACACGCAACAACGGCAGCAAACGTCCCAGACCCCTCCAGGAATTCCCACTCCCACCCCCCACGCAGTCAGGATTACAGTGGAGACTGGTCGGAACGAAATGAAACCGAATGAAAGCTGTTTCTGTTTCCGTTTCCTTTTATAAAAAATATATAGTACATAACGGATGCGTATTGTGTCCAGTTTGGGCCCCTTTCGATCCACAGACTCTATGGCTTCAAGATCCATCCTTTGGCATATCGCTGTCAGTCCGAAAAGGACTCGCAGGAAGCTGATGATTAGGAACGAAGTTCTCACTGTACAGCTCTGTTTCCGTGTGTTTTCTTGTTAATCCGTTTGTCTCACATCTGTGGGATTTATATTTTCGATTTTGACGGTTTGTTTGTCTGCGCAAAATCTCAAATTTCCGAATGGTTCGCCAATTGATTGCCTGAGTACCAGAGGACCATCCAAGGGCGATCCCTTCCGTTTCCTGTCCTTTTGGGAAGCTGTCTCACGAGCTGATCAAGACAATCGTCAGCTGGCTCAGTATCCAGCCAGCAGTGCTCGACAACAATAATGATATTATATCCAGCGAAGGAACCACCTAGGAACGATCCTCAATGGCATGAACGAGCAGTTTCCATTTGGCTCGGATCTTCCCTATAGGCACTGTGGCTATGTGGCTCGGAGCATTTACAGTGAACCTTGGATCTAGTCTGCCGTCGAATCCAAACGTCAGGGTTCTATCCGCCGATCCCATGTTACTCATCCAATTCACCGCAGTCGATCCTTATCAAATTGCACGCGAACGAACAGGATTGCCCCCTATGGACCCTACAATTTCGTTGTGAAATGGTCGGAAATGGAACTGGTAAAACAGATCGGCGCATCAGTTGTGTCTCAGTAAAACATTTCTCACCTCAAGGACCGACAGTGCAGGTGACAATTGGTCAATCTTCTGGTAGAGATCCCTCGCATCTTCAGAGGCTCTTGGGTGAGGATGCTGAGTGGCTGTGGATGGCTCTATTTTCAGAGGCTTGCAAGAAAGTTTTGGGGTTTTATCATGAGAAAGAAAGACGCATTGGTGGGTCTGACAAGGAAGATCTCTCGTGTAAACTCTCATTTAGGAGTGACGACATATCGCAGTTAAGGTCTCAGATCCCAAGTTTCTCCTCATCTCGAGCCGCTTCTCAGTGAAGGTGGCCAGGAACCACATGGCCATAACGTAGGCCGTGAGCATAACTACGATCCGTGCCAAGTGGGGGCTGCCTGTTCGTGCCATTGGGGCCCACTCTGGATACTACCGATATCAATACCACCACGGTGCACCCGGACCTCCAATATCTGGGAACGTCATGAAAAAACACACACAACAAGACACAAAATAATCACAAAATTCACGACAAACCAAAATATATTTTTTTCTTACTTTTTTCACAAAATCTTTTTAATTTTGTAATTTGGAATTTGATGTTGCCTAGTCGAGGCGTTTCTAGTTGACTGAAAATTTTCCAGAGCTCCAGGCTTCGATTCGGATGTGTTCCATTTGGGTGATGTCTGATGCCTAATTTGGTCCTTCAATCGGTAGAAGGACACTCGTCGTGTGAGAGTCTTAATCCGACATAGTATGCGAGTAGGCAGTTTTCCTACGTATTGTACATTCAAGTACAACGTAGTGAAATAAGTAATAACTTAAAAGGACCCTTTCAAAGGAAGTATCATTCGGCTTGCTTTGACCTCCAACCAGAGCGATTCCCAGTGGGACTCCTTTCTAGTCTCCACTGTACCCTGCTTCCGAGTGCAGTTTATTGTGGCATATACGCAGCTGTTGTTTGCTTGTCCTTGGGGCAATTCGGTGGGCTGTTGGCTGTTGGCTGGGTGGAGGCCTCGTCTAGAGGGTGGGGGGAGCAGGAAGGCAATTTGTATGTGTGTGTGTGTCCTTTAGGTGAGAGGAGCCAGTGGGCCGTGTGTGGAGGGAGGCCTTATTCGAGTGTGGAGTGGAGCCTGCAACTGCTTCGACCGTGGCTCCCTGGTGTTGCTGCTGCAGCTTGCGGTTGCGCTTAGCCATTTCCTGCCCCCTTGGGCCCCCTTGTGCCCACACCCACTTCTCTTGGCCAACTGTTGGCCATGGCTTTAAATGCGCTTTTAATCGCTCGGAGGCTCAGAGGTTCAGAGGCTCGGAGACTGTGGGTTCTCCGGGTTCTCTGGATTCTCTGGCCAGCCAGAAAGTTGAATCAATATTGAAATTGAACTTCTGCCGGCGTGTGTCCTGTCTGAGGAGCAGAGCAGCTGTTGACAGGCAGCCAAAATCAGCAGCGTTCGACGTTCACGTAGAGAATTGGGCAGGAAGAGATGGAGTGAGAATGGTAGATAGAGATGGGTATAACTTTTTGGCAGTTTTAAGTTTGAGCGGGACTCCTCGACTGAATCTCGTTCCCTGGGTGTGTCCCTGTGCGTCGTTGGGTGCGTCCCTGTGTGTTGTTTGCAACTTGTGACACAAAGGCGCCGTCCTCCATCCTCGATGTGTCTCCATCTACTCCCTCCTTCCCTCTCTTTCTGTGCCGCATCTTCATGGGTGGTTTCCTCCAGTTCTTGGGGCATGCAACAATGCGCTGACTTGACTTGTCTTACTCTTGTCTGTTGCCCTCCTCCTGCCCTGCCTGCGACCTTCACACACACTCAAGGAAAACTTAGGCATCACGTAAGCATCCATTGCTCTCCTCCCACTCTCGCCGTCCCTCTTTCTCTCTTTCTCCCCGATTTGTACATACATCAAAAATTTTATTATTTCTTACAATTTTTGCTTAAATTCTGCTTTTACTTTTCGTCCTGCTGCTGCTGAAAAGGTCAGACATTGTCAGTTAAGTGTCCATGTCCATGTCCATGTCCAAGTCTCAGTCGAAGAGTCGAGAGTCGAGAGTCCAGCGTCCAGCGTCCGAAAACTCTTGTCCAAGATTTCGAGTGCTTTTCACAATTTTTTAGTGCTCTGATCCCCTTCCCTTCCCATTCCCTTTATACTGCTTTGGCCTGTCTTTTGGCCCTTATTGAACGCCTTTCGGTTAGGTGTCAATGTGCAGCAGAAGCAGCAGCAGCAGAATTATGGCACAGGCAAATGGTATTGGAAAACTTTGCCATGCCAGTAAATGGATATTACAATTCAGATTCAGCTTCTTGGGGCTGGGTGGAAAGGGAAGGCCAAGAGAAAGAGCAGCCGAAAGGATGAGGCAGAACACATAGGAGGCATCCCACTACAGATGTATACGGAATGGTATGATTGAATGGGAATGAACTATAAGTGAACTTGTGGAAGAAGGAGCAGGCTTCTAAGTTCTTAGTTCGAATATTAATATATCATTAATAGCAATTCCTTCATAAATCATTTAAGATGGATATTGTTTGATAATTTTATTATAACTCAGTTATTCTTTTTACATTTACATATGCAGCGCATTTTACCTATTATAGGATCAATCAGATGGTATATACATTTGAGTTCCGATTCCATTTACTGGATATCCCTCCGCTTCCTTCGAACCCCATGGTGTTCTCTGCTCCACCATTTCCCAGTCTCTAGATATATATATATATATATATAGTAGATAGAGTATTTCCTTCCTTCCCATCGAATCTGAATCGAATCGGAGGAGAACGAACGCATACGCACACCGTGACATAAATCACAAAATCAACAACTAACACAAAACGGTATAAAAAATACACATTTTTGATTTATTGGCTGCTTCCTCCACCCTCTCGCCACATACAGATATGTTCACCCCCCAGCCCCTCCCCTAAGTAGACAGCTCAAAGGCCTAAACGTGGCCTAAAGCAAACAGAAGGAACACAGGGCCAAAACAAAACAAAGCCAGAAACCAGATATGAAAGAGGAGCAGAGGAGACCCCCCAAAAAATGGCGAGAGCCTTTTGATTTGTGACTTGCGACTTTTCACGTAGCAATTTTCCCTCCTGCTCTACGCCACAGACACACGCACGCACGTGGAGAGGAAAATCTCCATAAAATGAAAATATGAAAATAAAAATCACGCAACAGGATATTGAAACGTCACACATATGCCACAAGTGCCACAAGGCGAGACCTTGCTCACGTAGTGCAGGGTGGCGGAGAGTAGAAGAGGGGGGAGTACGGGTGTGGGTGTGGGTGTGGGTGTGGGGCAGACAGGACTTCATTCGGGTGGCATTAAAACTGTCAGTGGTGCAGATTGCCTGCGGTGGCTAAGGACAGCGACACCTACACTCACACCCACAACAACACCCACACCCACACCCACACCTTCCATACCAGAAACACACACACACATGCATGATTTATTTGCCATTGCATTTATTTGTTTGTTGCAGCACCATCGAACGTGGGAGGGGGAGACACAGACACGGGGGCGTTTGTGTGTGTGTGTGTGTGTGCGCGCTAAGAGGAGAAAGTGAAATTGGCGCAAAAAACTGCGCAAAAATTCGCCCGCAAACTCGTAAGCCCGTAAACAGTTGCAGCAGTTTCTTTAGCCTTATTTCGTCACGTCACCCTCTTCTCTCCTCTCCCCCTCGAGCGAGCACGTCCTGCGAGAGCAGTGTCCTGCGGAGGAGGAGGAGCAGCAGTTGGCCAAAATACAGATAGAGGTGGGTCAAAAGGAGCAGGAGCAGCAGTTGGCTCTCGATTGTGAGTGGGTGAGAGAGAGAGAGAGTCCTGGATCCTGGCCAATTGTCAGACGCCGACTGATTGGAACTTTGAGCCTGCAGCAGCAGCTTCTGCTTCTGCCACAGTCAGAACGTGCAGCGAAAGTTTAAATAAACACAGGAGCAGGACTCACTCGATAGCGAAATAGGGGAACGGGAATAAGGACATGATCAGGGGATGGGAATCCGAGTTAAAGTTGCGTGAAAGTGCCACAAAAACTGCCTGAAAAACAAGCGTAACCGGAGCTTTAATATACATGTACGTACCCTTGCAATCTCTCCTGCCCTGAGTCTTTTGTTTGTGGGAGTGTGTATGTGTGTATGCGTGTCCTGAAAGCATATCCATTTCACGCACAAGTGCCGTGTGGTGGTCGTGGACTGGCGTGGTCGTGGAGTGTGAACCGTGTGTCAAATCCATTAACCTTCTGTTTACTTTTCTACGTCCAGCCAGAGGCCAGAGGCCAGAAGCCAGGAGCCCGAGCCAGCAGCAGCCGCAAAAAATCACAAGGAGCCACCCACTCGAAACACGAGGGAAAGGAAAAGGGAATCAGGAGCAGGAGATGTCCGAGTGAAAGTGTTTTTGTGTGGCTGAAATTTGATATTTTCACTAAATTGCGTTGCACACTTGAGGAGGTCCTTCCCTCTCCGGGCATAAATCTTACCTTGGTGTCTGGGTCGAGTGGTGCGGGGGAAATGGAGCAGCAAATCAACTCCCACCCGCACGTATCGGTGGGGCAGCCACCCACCACCTCCACTAAACCTCTTGCCCTCCAAACTCAGTATGAAATGAGTATTAAGTTGACGTAAATTGCGGTCCATTACATTAACCAAAGGAAGCAGAGAGCCAGAAAGGCAGGGGGAAGTCCAAGGGTGACCGTGGGAGGGGCGCAGCCAATTAACCTCCGACCGCCTCCAATGAGTGTCTCCGCTAATTGCTTCTGTAGTTTCTCTGCAGCACCGGAAACAAAGCAATATCGATAGGAAAAGATGGACGCGAAGGGCAATGGGAACGGGAGAGGTGTTCAGTAGAAGATATATGGGCACATGTGTGTGTCGGTATATTAACAGGAATAAATACACTTCAATTGTTTTCAGTTCTTATAGTATATAAATGGGTAATATGTGCTCTCCTTAGCGAGTATTCATTTCGTTTTGTGTCTTTTGTGTACATTGATGGTTCATCGAGTGATCATGTTAATCCCCTCAAAGCTCCAATCTACTTGGTGGAGAGACGCGTGCGCTTGTTCCAGGAGAAGTTGACCCCGTAGCTCTTGAAGCGCTGCTTCTTGGGTTTTTGTCCTCTGTCGCTGTCTTTGTCGACATACCAACGCCAGCCATTGCGTTCACAGTAGGTGATGGCCTCGTTCTTGGATCCGAACTGCAAATTTAAATTGGACAACGGGTCGCCACTGTGGATATAATGCGAGACAAGACTAGGACTAGTACTGGGCCATTAGTTACTGGGTCTGATCGCGATACTCACGAGGAGGCCCAGCCCATTAGGGGGTTCTCCCATCGCTCCCGATTGTCGAACTCAATCAGCCACTTGTTGAGGTAGTTTGTGCCGCTCTGCATGGCATTCTTGGGTGGTATGTGGATGCGCACACGACGCTCCTTCAGCTGCTGCGAGGGCACACCTGAAATGGGACTCAGGTCTACGGCTGTGGGCACGGTGATCGTTCCACTCAATTTGCTGTGTTTCTCCAAGTCCTCGGGACGGGCCAAGGCCGTATTTAGGTCGAGTGGAGCATCGGTATCTTTAGAAGACGCGCAGCGGGAAGTAAATCTACAGAAAAACAATTGAACGATTTAACGAGGACGGTTAGAATCTCAAAGATGTGTGAGGGGGAGGAATAATATTTCACCTACAACTGCAAGGAGGTGGCGGTAGTCCTGCACATTACTCGACGTAGGAGCGACATTTCTCTCGCAAGTTCAATCTTACGTACGTACAATTTGGAACGGAACACAAATATCTCTTGTCACTCGGTTTTATTTTTCTTAGGGCTGGGACGAACCAACAAAACTACTACTCACTGCAGTGAACGAACTACTTCAAACAGTTAACCTTAATCGTTCTTTTGGTGCATATTCATTGTATGAACTGACACATCTGTATACTGTTCATGTATTTGTATAGCCGGCACCGTCTTTGGGGACGCGGGCTCCACATCCACATCGATAACATACCATTGCAACACTTTTGATTGCAAATGAAATCGCATCCTTTTGCCATCCCTATGATAGAATTTATAGCGATTGCACATCACTACCAGATAAAAGCAGCATCATCGCACAAAAGTCGGAAACAGCTGGCAAATAAGAATCTTTATTAAAAAGAATTGGTATGTCTTTTTCGATTGAAGGCATAGAGAATAGACGTTCGCTGCACGGCCGAATAGAATTCCTAATCAAGTGGAAGGGCTACCCACGGAGTCAGAACTCGTGGGAGCCAGACGAGAACTTATTGCGGCCTTCGAGGCGTCCATGAAGAAAAAGATGGAGTCCACGAAGCAGGCAAGGAAGCATCGCAACACTGGACGCATCGGGGAGGAGCAGAATGGAGTAGCCGATGAGCCCGCCAAAAGGATACCCAGCAGGTCGGCTTTGAGCGTCACTTACAACCTGACAAGATATTGGGGGCCAACCACTCGCAGGGCCAACTCATGTACAAGATGAAGTGGAAGGGCAGCGATTATGTCGATATGGTGCCTTCCGAAGAAGCCAAAGAGCGATGCCCCCAGCTTGTCATTGAGTTCCTTGAGGAGCACCTTTTGTGGGATACTGGTAGTGGTGACAATAGTACCAATATCTAAGAGGACCAAAATCCGAATGAGCAAGACGAAGAGTTGCAAACCATTTAAATCGATGACTAAAAATATTTGCAATAGTGGAGTCGAAAAAAATAGAGTGCTAAAAAATCACACACATCTATTTAGTCTCTCATTTTATCACCCCTTCTGCTGCACCTCCGTTTTCTTACTACTCGCAAGGTATATTCGGAATCGATAGGCACTGCGATATTAAGTCGATAGGACACCAGCAAAAGTGTAAACAATTGGCAAAGAAATTCCTATTGACGCAACTTTTGATTAGATCTGGATCTTGCGTTACGGGACGGCAAAAGGTGAGTTGGCTGGCTCTTCCACACAATCCGATTTCCCAGGACCACGTGGTGGTTGATTTCTGGCTGTCCAAGTAGGTCTGCGTATTCGAAGCATACGGAAATTATTTATTTGTCCAGCTTCCAGACGGGAAATCTATCCTACATTCAAGATGCAGATTCAGTGCTGTCTACTGTCTTTATTGCTCCTGCCGCTTGTTGCAGCAGGATCTCTTACCGGAGCGGAGTACTCCCTCTCAGTGGTGTCGATGAAGCCACTCGTGGAGCTGGAGACAAAGCTGATCCAAAACCTTGACGACTATGTAAAGGCCCTGGAGCACAAGCTGCAGATACTCCGCAGGTGAGGGATACTTCCGTCACAGGTGCAGATTCTGTAAGAGATTCCTTCTGCAGGCACATTTCAGAGATGCGATTGGAGAACGAGAAGGCGCAACGCAATGTAGTCCTCTATCTGTCGCATCCACTCAACGCCTTCGCCCTCATCCGACGGCTGCACCTCGACTGGGTGCAGTGGCGGAAATACATGGAGCAGCCCGTGGGAGGGGCGCAGATGCGAAGCTTTGACGCCTGGCGGGACCATCTCCCCACGCAGTTGGATCTGCAGGATGCGTGCAATGGGATAGCCCGCATTCAGGACATCTACGGCCTCCAGGAGAAGCATATCATGAGGGGACAGCTGGCCGGCATTAAATACAAGTGAGTACAAATACAAGGGAAAAGTGATATATGTATGCCTGATTCCTGCAGCATCAGCATGTCCACTGGCGATATTTTCGCTGTGGGCCAACACTTGTCGAGGACCACAAACGCCAAAGAGGCCGTTCCTTGGCTGGAGGAAGTGAAAAGGCGCCTGCGAAACCAAACGCCCGGACCCCTGGCTGTGGATAAAGCAGAGGTCCTGTTACTATTGGCAGAGACGTACATCAAATCGAGTATGGAGGATCCTTGAAGAGGAACTGCTTCAACTAATGAACCCAATCACCTGATTTTCCAGAGCACTATGCAGATGCTCTGCCCATCCTTGATAGGGCCCTGAAGCACAACATCGCCGACGCTGTGCTCCTGCGTCGCAGGGAGGAGGTCCAGCAGCTGATTGCGAAGGAGCCCAGCACCGTCTTGGATAACGTATGTCCCGGGATCATCAATCATAACATTTTATGACCCATTCACCAGCAGGGCGAGCCCAAGGACAATTCCAAAGTGGCTATATTGAAGTGGGGATGCAGAGGCTTCTCCAGAGAGCAGTCCCCTAAGGCGCTCCACTGCTGCTACAACTTTACGACTACGCCCTTTCTCCGCCTGGCCCCCCTCAAAATGGAGCTACTGGGGGAGCATCCCGATGTCGTGGTCTACCACGACGTCCTCTCCGACTCGGAGATAGCCTAGATCCTCGAAATGGCAGAGCGAAGGATGGCCAGGACAGCGACCGTGGCGCAACCGAATCGGACTTCGTCGCCGACCCGCACAGCCATGGCGCATGGCATCGCTCCTACTAAAATGAAAGGAAAGGTTAAATAGAGAGGTTGCTGGCCAATAGAGCTGGAGGGAATACAAAATAAAGATGAGCCTGGAAAAAAAGCCAATGGAAGAGATGAATAGGTGGGAAAGGTAAGGGTAAGGGATGGTATTCGCGGTAAGGGATGACGATGTCGGTAATGTATGCACCTGCGAAGCACTTACTAAATATTATACCAGCTGCTGGCGCGATGCACGCGATCGTGGATGCAGTATCGATCCTTGAGTCAGAGTGCGCTCACTTTCTCTCCGTCTTCAAGAGCTTCTCCTAATTGAATTCTAATTGTCATTGATTTCAGCTCTCACTTTTGGAAGACAGTTTGAATGCAGCGAAAGCCAAAATGAAAGAGAGAGAATGCGTTGTAGAGGTTGTACCTTCGAAAGCAAACCAAATTTGCATTGTTATCCTCTTGGCAAAGAGAAGCCAAAGGAGCAACAGGAGGAGCCACAGCCACAGCTCCAGCTCCAACATCCTTTTTGCTCTTTTGACTCTGCTACAAATGAGCGGGGCATCAACTTTAATCACCTGCTTAATTAAATCAGTTTCCCCTGGCGACTGGCGACTGGCGCCGGGTCCAGCACTGGCCAGGCATAACCCCTGTTCCTGCCATTGTTCGCTGTAGGATGCTCCTGTGTCCTGTGTTTTTGGTCCTGCATAAATTACGTGCTGCATAATCACCTACAAGCGTTCCATTTATTGTAAGCTCCTGGCAAGTGTCTTTTGCTCTCCACCTCCTCCCTCTCTTGTGGAGTTTTTCTTGGCTTTGGCTTCACTTTTTTTTGTTTTTGTTTTTGTTTTTTTCCTATCCTTGCTGCTGGTCGCTGATGTCCGTCCGATAAAGTTCTTAAATCATTTACGTTTTCCTCGCTTGCCCTGCCTTTGCTTTTCTTTTGTTTTTCCGCGATGCGGTTTTCATTTGCTCTGTTCCGAGTTCTGTTTTTATCTTGATTTTGATTTAGATTCAGATTTATGTTTTTTAATTCCATTAGCGAGCCATTTACCTCCGCAAGAACGCTCTGGTACTCTGCAAAGGGAGGGGGGAGAGGGAAAAGTGTTTAAAAAGAATTTAACGATCTGTGAATTGTGATATGATGGAAGAGATACAAACGACAAAAACATGGTGTTCTATAGGATCTTATAGCTTAATATGCGAGATTTTGATGAGCATTTGTTTAAAGGACTTTGGCACTCTATCTCTTCAATTTTTACCAGCCAGCATTCGGTCTCGGTTGAAGTTTTACATAAAATCGATCGATCCATTCGCAGGACACAAGGACACACTTCCAGAGGCCAGAGGCCAGCGAGAACAAGAACGCACTCCTCGACAATAAAACGCCAGAATCAACAATTATGTTAATTCATTTTGTGGGTCAATGTCTCGCACACACACAAAGGGCACACACACTCGCTCCCATACACATTTACATTGAGCTGTATTTTATGGCCGCTTCTTGGCCAACTGTCAGCACACTCTTGGCCAGAAGACGAAGGAGGAGCAGGAGGAGTAGGCCAATAAGAAGGAGAAGCAGACAGTTGCAGTGGCAAAATAAATTAACATTATTTATGATTTTTAGTGCTTAACATTTCTCGCATTTCTGTAAACTGTTAACATGGTTTCATTTCCCCTTCTGTTAAAGGTTAACAGTGCGAGCTCTCTGTTAGGCTAACAGACCAACACGACTCTCTCGCTGTTAGCACTCTCTCTCATTCTCACGGGACTTGATGGTCCGAGTGCGCATGCCTCTTTCTTTCACTCACACACCTCTGCGGTGGGGTCTCGACACGTGCTTTCTTCGTCTTCCGTCGTATATATAATGTACTGTACCTTACGCATCCACCAATCTACCTGCGTCAGTCCCCCATTCCTTTGATATCCGCCCCCCCTTCTATTACCGTATGTACTACTCTCTCTCTCTCACACACTCGTCCTGTACCTGCTTTAGGTGTTTGTGGGTGAGGGGGGTCTGGTCTTCGTCTTCGTTTGGCAGCGACGTCGTCGCCGTCGTCGTTTCTCTCTGTTGGAAGAGTGCAGCATGCGCTGAGTGGTAGGTGCCAGCGACACTACCTCTCTCACTTGTACCTGCCGTGGGTAGCCCCCCCACACTCCTTTAACCATTTCCCCCTTCCACTCACCCCCAATGACAACCGCAAGTAACAGTTGTTTTGCGTTCATTTCTCACCTCTCTCTCATTCGTCGTGCGTTTTTCGTTCGTATTTCGCTCTCACCTACACTCATACACACAGGTTGCTGCTTTCTCGCTTGCTCTCTCTCTCTCTCTTTCGCCCACCTATAGGTGTATATGTAGGTATTTTAAGGTAAACGAAAATGTTGGCAGCCAACCAAAGCAGAGCAGCACCTTGACGGTGGTAGGGGTAGGGGTGCAATCTAAGAGTGGGAGGGAGAGAAGAACCTCTTGCCGTAGCCGTTACTGTATCCCTTTTTATGGCTTGAGGTTTTGGGGGTTTTGTGTATGATTTATGGCTCCATAAAACAATTACGCCTCAGAAAATGATTAGAAAACCTCATTTGACTGCTGCCACCTCCCCACCGCCCCTTTTCTTTCACCGTTGCGCTGCCTTTTACCGTTTCTGCTGCGCATCTGCTCTCTTTTACCATTTGTTTCCTTCCTCTATCCTCTTTCCACCTTCCACCTCCTCTTATCAAACGTCAGTAGTCGTCGGGTGCGCGCCGTCAACGTCGTCGTACTCTCGTCTCGTCTCGTCTCATCTCATCTCCGTCCTTCCTTCGTTCGGCTTACACCTTGCTGCTGACGCTGTCGCTGCTGCCTGATGCTGCTGCCTGCTGCCTGCTGCTTGATGCTTCTGTCTCAGCTGCTGCCTGCTGCTTCTGCTGCTTCTCTGTCTCCGTCTCTGTCTCTGCGTGTGGGGTACTCTCGCTTCGGCTGGAGGTGGCTTTTTGCTGTGTGTAGCGCAGGTCTAGAGGTGCGCGCAGCCAGCCCCTCGCTCGTTAGGTACTCGTTTCGTGCTTTTTCCTTTCCTTCTTTTTACCGTGCTGTGCTTCCTCCTCCTGTCTTAGGTAACTCACACACACACATACACACACACAAATGAGACCCGAGCAGTAGCGGCTCCTCCACCTTGCAGCACATCTCTGCTGAGAGGCACGAATAAGAGAGAGAGAGAGAGAGAGCCAGCAGGTGCGCCCCCCCCCCTCACCATCACCACCCGTTCGGTCGTTCTCTTTGGGTTTTTTGAAGGTGTGTCGTCTCTCCGAGTGCGTTAGGTGCGCATCAGCATCATCATCGGTGGGTGCAGGGGAGTGGGAAGTAAGACTGGGGGGAGGGGAGCGTGATTTATGCCAGCCAATGGTTGCGTCTCTCTGGATACGTGTGGTAGGTGTGCCACAAGACCGTTAGTTGGCTCTCTCTGTCTGTCTCTGTCTCTTTCTGTGACTGGAGCACGCTCCACCTTCTCGGTGGAGAAGCCCACGTGCGCTAAAAAATGGCGACGGACGGGCAGCGACAACTCTCGGCTCTTGCACCTATGAGCGTTCAGCTCTGCCTCCTGCCTCGCCGCACCCGCGCCTTCTGCCACGGGAAACGGGGGAAAACTTTTCTAATTAGCCAACAGTGCAACAGGGTGGGTGGGGCACGGTAGGAGCAGACACAGGATAGGAGCATGCGGAGAACAAAACTTGCTCTTTAAGGCCCTCTTCCATGGCCGCCTCTTTATGGATTTTTCCGACTGCCCGTTGCTTTTTCTTTTATTTTTCTTTCGCTCATTCCCATTCTTTTCTTTCCTGCCATTTCCCCCTCTGCTCACTCTCTTTCTCCTTCCCAGACGGTCCTGGCGGTGTCAGTGTCCTCGTTAGAGGATGCTGAAACATTTTCCCGCTGGCTTGTGCGCAGCGATTTTCCCATATTTTCCATCCCTCCCTCTCTCCCTCCGTTCCGGAGCTTCGTCTCCGTCTCGCATCTTTTGTTGCAGATAAAATCGATGGCATTTTATAGCAATTTAATATGACCTTCGGTTCGCTTTGGCATACAAATACTTGTACACATATTTTTCTGTACTTTCGCTGTGTTTCTGTACTTTGGTTTTTCTAGGCTCTCCCAGTCCCACTCGGCCTCGTCTCTGCCTTCCCCCTCTTTTTTGTAGGCGGTTTTTGTTTATAAGGCTGCTGCGTTTTTCCTTCGAGTTTTCTGCTTTCTGCGATGTTTTTGGGCTCCTCCGTCAACAGGTCGTATGCGCAATCTGTTGCCCTTTGCCAGAGGTCAGTCGATTCGACATTGAACTCGACTCTTTCCAATACCCCATCGTCGGTCTGCGATTGAACTGCTTATTTTTTTGGGTGGAAATGGTATCCCATCGATGGGGTCATCATAATCAGATATCGTGGTATCTATAGGATTGAATAGATTCAGATCAAGGATTAGTCTGGCTTTTGTTTACTGATTGTTTTGCTGAGAAGTTTATTCGTTTCTCTGAAGGATTTTAGGGTACTTTGTTTGGTGTGGTTAGCATATTCTTTAGTGGGTTTCCCGGATCCATGTACAGCCCATAAAGAAGTCGAGATTTTGGGATAAGTTTTCTACTAGTAATTTATTATTTGAAAATTATTAGTTTAAAAATTAAAACCACAAAATGAACAGATCTCTGGCTAATCTATTAGTGGGATTTATCTACAAAATATGTAGATACACATAGCGAAGAATGGCAGCAGTATTTAGTACGTTTTCCGCCTCTTATGTACCCATATTTATATTAAATATTAAGTGTTTAGGTACAAGTATAGAGAAATTAATTTTAGTCCAGCTTTGGTTTAAACATAAACTACTACAAAAAATTTAAACTAAATACTTCCATACTAAAAAGACATAAAACAGTGTGAAATTTATAAATCACTTTCTGTGCTACAATTTACATTCTCAGCTCAAATCAATTGGTAT